AAAAAATATTTATTCTCAAGTTTTAAGCGGACACAATATTTTTATTTTACATCTATGTGGTGCTGAGGATCAAACCCAGTGCCTAGTGCATGCTAGGCAAGCGCTCTACCACTGAGCCACAACCCCAGCCCCCTCCCCCTGCATTAGCATTTTRATAGYTCTCCAACTTTCTGGACTCAAATTGGCCTCCTTGATCCTACCTGACTCAATTTACCTGTTATACTGACTGCCTGTCTAATTCTGGCWTCAATGGTGGCAGAGCTATTCAGGAGGCTGAGGCAGAAAAAGCCCAAGTTCTAGGTCGGCTGGCAATTTAGGGAGACCYTGTCTCAAAGAATAAAAAGGGCTGAGGTTGTGGATTAGGAGTAAAATGCTTCTGGGCTCAATTCCCAGTACCACCAAAAATAAAKTTTAAAAAATAATATGTAGAGATGCGCAGTACCATTTTAACACGTTACTATGAAAACTTAAATTATACAGCAGTAGGGAGAACAGGCCATGAAGTCCCATGCACCTTTCGCTCCAGTTTCAACAAACAGTTGAAAAAGCAAGGCCAGTCTCGCTTTGTTCAAACTCCAATCTGAAGATGCTGTTATAATCAGGGAAAGCCTCTTAAGTTGACATGTGTTTCAAGATAGGAATTGTGAGCACAGCTATTAAAAGATCTGATGAAAAAGCATTTTCAGGCAAAGGGAACAGCAAGATCAAAGGCGCAAGATGGTAAAGAGATTGGCTATCTAAAGTCAAGTGGAGCTAGACAGGAGTGGATAAAAAAGGAGGGTGAGGCCACAAGGAGAAATAGGGCCAGACCATGTGACAGACCCTGAAGCTATGATACATGAGTTTAGGTTTTGTTTGTTTTAAGTTGTAATGGGACTCCATGGAAGAGTTTTAAATTGCTGTGTGACAAAGTTATTTCTTCCTAGAAGGCTGGAACCTTGCAACGGCTTCCTATACTCAGAATAAAGTCTAAGCTCTTTAAAATCGCCCGTAGAATTTCCCTTCTCCAATGTGTTTCAGGGACAGTAAGCTGCTTTCACTTCTTCAAACTATGCACTTGTTGTTGTTGTTGTTTTGCCTGCCTCTGGGCTTTTGACCTTGATGTTCCTTCTGCCAGAAAGACTCCCATTCTAGTTGGCACCTATTCATACTTGGCTTAAAAATCACCACCTTTTGGAAGTCTTTCCAGTATCCCAGGCTGAGGCGGGCGCTTCTTCTGGCACCCACAGCTTCCTATGCGCCAACCATTCCAGGTGTGACCCTTTTAGGTAGTAGTCTAATTATGTGTAGATCTTCCGTTGACCATAGTGCCACAAAGATGGGGCCAGATCTGTCCTATTCACTGCAAAAAAAAAAAAAAAAAAAAAGTGTTCACCAGCACACGCCTGGCACAGAAGAGATCAATAAATATTTATCCTGCTTGGAGGGGTGTAAAGATTGATAGGGATCATGGCCCTTGCCAACTGTCTTCGGATGTAAACTGATACCCAACTAAGACAAGATTTAGCCACTTGGCGCACTAGTCTGCAGTTCCTAAACGCATGCGCTTTACTCAAGGGACCCCCCCCCATATGCTAATCACTGCGCTCGAGAGTACAGCCTCTCCCAGGCATATGCAAATCACTCCTTCCAGTGCGGGAGGCCCTCCTTTGTCCCGCGCTAGGATTATGTAAATGAGAAGGCCTCCAATCCAGGATCCCGGCCGAGGGGTCGCCCTCCACCCACAACGCATCCCATTTTCATAAAGCGCGTTCCAGCTACGCACACGCACGCGCGAGCCCTGGAGCTTCTCGATCCTTCAGGCCGCGGACTGTACCAAGTAAACGCGGGCAGTGAGGGGCAAAGCACGGCAACCCGTGCGCGGGTTCCCTCCGTGGCCCGACTCGGATAGCCCCTCTTCCCACAGCGCGACAGGAATGGTCCATCTGGCTGCGCAAGCGCYCTAGGCTCCTCACGCCCCTTGCTCTCCCTCCTACTCCGCTTGCAACGCAGGCGCAGAGTCTGGGCGTGCAGCCGCCACCGCCGAGCCGGAGCTGGGGCCGCCAGCCCCGGTGAGTGTCCGCGGTCGGGGTGCGCGGGGCATGCTGGGAAGCGGGCGCTACGGCCCCGCTGCATGATGGGAGCGGCGGCAGCCGGCACCGAGGAGCCTGCAGCGGTCTTGAGCCGTGATGACCTGAGGGCGAGATCCGGACTCCTTTCCTTCCCCTACGCGGCTCCGCACGCTCCTGGGGCATCCTGGGAAAGCCAGCACTGCGTCTTACAGCGTTGGAGTCGGTCTGCTGGTCGTTATAGGCCTGGTGTATCCTGGGAAGGATTTCCCTAAATCCCTGTGGGGGTCCGGTCCCTTTTGTCCTGCGCCCTCTACTGAGCATCCTGGAAGTCGGCAGTGCTTCGGTGGAGGGCGTCTTGGAAGGTGGTCATTATAGGCCCGAAGCATCCTGGGAAGAATTGCCGCAGGGCATTGTGGGGACTGGTCCTTATTGTTTTGTATAAGGCCCTTGCCTTAGCTTATGTGCTGGTGCGTTCCTGCTGTTTTCAGGCGGGCCATTCTGGGAGTAGGTTGTTGTAGGCTCAGGGCATTGCTGGGTCCAGGTCACCGATTTTGCCTGTGGGTTGTGACGGAGCTTTATTTATACTCCTTTAAGATCTTGGGAGCCAATCTGACCACCATAGGTGTTGTAGGAGTGTGACTTAGGTGCTTAGTATTCCAGAGTATGGAATACTCCGAAAGGGCCTTGTGTGATGTGARTTTGGGGAGGGGTGGGCTGGAATGGTGGGCGTTGTCTTCAGGTAACCTCAWGCGAGGTCCTGATTGTCCCTGTTGTACAGTTGCCAGATAGAATGTCCAGTAAAATTTCAGGTAAATAACAATCTTAGAAAAGTACAAGGGTGCCACAGCCTGTGATCTCAGCTACTCAGAAGGCTGAGGCAGGAGGATTGCAAGTTCACCGCCAGCCTGGACAACTTAGAGACCCTGTGTCAAAAAAAAAAAAAGAAAAGAAAAGAAAAGGGCTCAGTGGCAGAGCATACCTGGGTTCAATCCCTATAACCCACTCACCTGTACCCCCCAAAAAGGAAGACAGAAACATCATCCCAAATATTGCATGAATATACATATATTAAATAATTCTTATTTATCTGAAATTCACATTTAACTCGGTGTCCTGTTTTTATTTGCTAAATCTGTCATTTTTATCCAGGCATACGGTAGAATTAGAATTTCCTATATATACTAGGGTATTATAAAAACTCTTCTTTGCCAATTTTTAATTCTCTCTATCCTTACAAACTCAGATCCAGGTATCTYTGTGTCACTGGGGATTGGACCCAGGGGCTTTCGAATACTGAGCTTCATCCCCAGCCCTTTCATTTATTTATTTATTTATTTTTTAAAGAAGGAATTTTTTTTAGAGAGAGAGAGAATTTTTTAATATTTATTTTTTAGTTTTCGTCGGACACAACATCTTTGTTTGTATGTGGTGCTGAGGATCGAACTTGGGCCGCTCGAATGCCAGGCAAGCGCGCTACCATTTGAGCCACATCCCCAGCCCCCCAGCCCTTTTAAAATTAATTTTGAGACAAGGTCTCTCTTAAGTTGCAAAGGCTAGCCTTGAACTTTTCATACTCTTGCCTCAGCCTCCTGAGTAGCTGGGATTACAGGCATGTGCTATTGTGCCCAGCTTCCAATTGTCTTCTTTAGGAAGTTCTGCCAAGTTTCATCTTTTTCCAGGCTTCAGTGTGATCTTAAGTCCTCAGCAATGAACTTGACCTCTGGGCTTTGAAGACAGGTATTTTCCACCATTGTATCCCCAGTGCCTATCACAGGCTTTGTCATATAAGGGGATTTGCCAGCCCCTTCACTAACTGGCCCAGTGTGGCTCTCCACCATTAGGGAGTGCAGTAGGAGAAACAGAAAGTACTATCTATGTTTTCAGGGGGGTCTTTTGGTAAAGAGGAAATAAAAGAGAAGGATTAGGAATGTCTCCCTGGGAGAGACAGAGTGTTTGGTCTGGGAAGAAGCGTAGAGGTTCTTGTGTTTGTAGTAGGCTTTGAAGGGTGAAAAGGAGATCTCCAGATCTACAAGGGCCAAAAAGGACATTCCAGAGGGTGCACCAAGACCTCAGATGTAATAAGACCTGGTGTGCACAGGGAGAGGTGAGGAGCCTGGGATGGCTGGAAGTTCATGGAGTTCCTGTCACATACCAGCAATTTGTGAGTCTACCAAATCTTCAAAAAATCTCTTGAGCCATCAAAATCATTTTATGAGAGGTAGGATGACATAGCTTCAAATCCTAGTTTGACCACCTCCCAGATGTTGTGACCTTGGACTACTCATTTATCCTCTACCTCACCTTCCTCATCTGTACAAAGAAGATAATGTCTCAACATGGTTTGGAGGTTTGTGTAAGTCAAGGCCTAGATACCTCTTTCATACAGAGAAGGTAGTTAGGTCCTTTGCTTAAAGCTCCCTAGCTAAAGAGTGACAGATTTAGGATACTTACCTAAACACTTCTCTTGACACTTGATATACAGCTAAGGCTGACATTCACAAACTAGTGCAACCATATCAATTGCTTAATTTTTTTAAAATGCATTTTACCACTGAGCTACATTCCCAGTCCTTTTTATTTTTTTATTTTTATTTTTTAATATTTTTTTAGTTGTAGTTGGACACATTATCTTTATTTTATTTATTGTTATGTGGTGCTGAGGATCGAACCCAGCGCCTCAAACCTGCTAGGCGAGTGTTCTACCACTGAGCCACAACCCCAGCCCCATTTTTAAYTTTTTTATTTGAGACAGGATCTCATCAAAATGCTGAGAGTCTTGCTAAATTGCTGAGGCTGACCTTGATCTTGTAAACCTCCTGCCTCAGCCTTCTGAGTCACTGGGATTACAGGTGTGTGCCATGCTACCCATCTTCAGTTGTTTCAGTTTTGAAATCCCAAGCACTCTGTATCCCTGACTACCACTTTGGATCCTCTTCCAGCCCTGGACCTCCCCACAATCCAGCTCCAAAAGGGTTTATGCCTGCCCCACTCTTTAATTCGGATTAGTGCGCCTATGCCAGTATCTACTGTTAAATATACGGAATGTCACCCTTCCTACCCCATTGAATAAGAAACACAAAACAGTCTCATTGCCCAGATAAGGAAATTAAGGCCTCCAGAGGGGCAAGAGCTATAGCTGGGGCTCTGAAGACAGTCTGAGACAGAGCCTCACCCCAGCACTTAGCACACAGTGGGACTTGGAATGGGGACGAGYACTATGTAAGAATTTATTGAGTCACCACAGGCCTTTCCTTTTCCCTGTCCAGCCTCCCTCTCTATCTGCCAACATCCTGTATTAGAAGAATTGGTGGCCGGAGGTGTGACTGAAGAGCTGGCCGGGAAGGGACACTGCCCAGCTGCTGCTCTTCTCCTGTCTCCCATCCCCTCCGCTGGCCATGACAGAGACTCGGGAGCCAGCTGAGACGGGGGGCTACGCCAGCTTAGAAGAAGATGATGAAGACCTCTCCCCAGGTGAGATGGCTTTRGTGGTAGGAGCATTGTCTTGACTATTGTCCTGGCCTAGGGTTTGGGCTCCACTGGGAAATTTTGATTGGGAGCGGTTCCTTGTCTTGCTGTGCGTTCTGTCCTGACTGGAAGTTCTTTTCCTGCTAGGAGATCTCTTCACACTGAGACTCTTAGAAGTTGTAGGTTGGCCAGGATCTTTCTTCCTCCTGGTAGTTCTAGATTGGCTGTGATCTGACTCCTTGCTGGAAGTTCTAGATGGGCTAAGGTCTCTCTCCTTGCTGCCRCTTCTAGAATGGCTGTGACATCTTTCCTCACTGGAGGTTCTTGACCAATTGTGACCTCTTTCCTTTCTGAGGTTCTGACTTTTCTTCCTCCTGTGGGTTCTAGACGGACTGTATCTTCTTCTATGTCTGGGAGTTCCCTTCCAGTTGTGACTTCTTGCCCTACTATGATTTCTCTTCCAACTGTGACTTCTCATCCTGCTGTGGGTCCTCCTGCGACTGTGACTTCTCGTTTTTCTAGGGGTTTTAGATCCGCTATGACTTTGGGTCCTGCTGGGGGTGCTGGACCGGCTGTGACTGTGGGTCCTACTGGGGGTGCTGGACAGGCTGTGACTCCAGGTCCTGCTGTGGGTGCTAGAGAGGCTGTGACTTCTTGTCCTTCTGGGGGTGCTGGACTGGCTGTGATTTCGGGTCCTTCTGGGGGTGCTGGACTGGCTGTAATTTCGAGTCCTTCTGGGGGTGCTAGACTGGGTATACTTCTTGGTCCTCTTGGCCACTTCAGTTTGGCTATAACTTGGTTCCTTCCTGGGGGCTGTCATCTGACTAGAACTCTTCACTCTCCTTGTTGGTGTTGGAGACTGGCTGTTGCCCTTCCCCTGAAAGGGTGTTCTAGTTGGGCTGTAACTCTTTGAGCGGCTGGGGGTTACAGGCAACCTGGAACTGCTCCCCACACCTAAGGCTTCTCGTGGGCTGTAACTCTTTTTCCTGCTCATATTTTTAAGCTGGCTGTTGCTCTTTTCCTGGGTGTTGGTTCTAAGCCGGCTATAACTGTTGTCCCGACTCSATTTTGGATGGGAAGTAGGAGTTCTCGCCCTTTTAGCTAAGCCTGATTTGGTACCATGAGTTCTCATCCTGCTAGGAGTGCTGGCCCTGCTGGGTGACCTCTTAGAGCTGCGACTGCTCCTTCTGCCAGGTGTGCGGCCCCGGCTGTGCGTGCCTTTCTGATGATGGTATTTTGTGCTGCTGGTCTTGCTGCCTTTGCTGGTCCTTGTGTCGGTGCTTGCCCTACTGGGCGTTCTTACCTTATTGCGGACTTGGGACTTGCTACGGGACTGGTTAGAAGTGGCCGACTTTGTACTTGTTGATTTGGTGGACTTGGAACTACTTGGGCTCATGACTGAGWTGGGGGATGTTGATGGCTTGGGGGCTACTGAGGAGGTGTTGGGCATTGCTGATATGGTGACCTTCAAGGAGGCAGGAGATATGGGAGTCATAGCAGGCATGGAGGATCCAGTAGAAGCCACAGACGTGCTGGGCTTTGAGGATCTCTTAGGTGAAGGCATGATGGGTGCAAAAGGGCTTGTGGTCCTAGAAGCCATGGTGGACATGCAAGACCTGGTAGCCATGGACAGTGACCTGATTGCCTGTCATGGGCCCACTGTGTGAAGTCATAGTGGGCACTGAAGCACCTGGAGGATGGACAGTGTGAAGTCAGGCGTGAGAGAGCGGGAGGGACCTTGGTCCAAAGTTGGAGATGTTGCCACCGTTTTGTAGCTCTTCAGCAAATGTCTCAGAGACAGACATGCTCAGCATTGCTGGAGACAGGGAGGATTTGGTGATAGCTCTAGCCCTTCCTCAAAGAGTCTTCAGCCTTCAGACCTGCTCAGTCACTGCCCAAGGTGRTCAGAGTATGATGGGGTCCAGTGGTTGAAGGAATCCAGTGAACAAACATCAACCACTGGGGGCTGGGTGAACTTTGCAGAGGAGGTAGCATGTGAGCTGGGCCTTGAAGAGGAGCAGTTATTGTCCACAGAGCAGGATAGGGTCCCTAGGGAGGGAGGTCAGGGCTCGGGCCACTGTCAGCCATTGACCTGCACGTCCTCTGCTAGACAGTGGTGGGACCTGAGGTCAGAACTGCCCTTGAGGGGTCCCCAGTCTGATGGGGGAGGCATATGAGGTTCTGGAAGCTACACTCTAAGGACAGTTATGGGGGACCTTAGGTGGGGTAGCCAGGGCAGAGTGAGTTTGGGAGAGACCCCTGGATGGTAGCTGGGGGAATCAGGGTAATGGCTTCAGGGAGAACAGCCCATGCTGGGTCCTGAAAATGACTAGGTGACCAGGTGGAAAGAGTCGGGGACAGCATTCCAGGCACAGGGATCAGTACACATCAAGGCCTCAGGAAACGTTTGGTAAACAGCAGGATGTAGCAGGATGGGGCACRAGCAGCCGGAGCTGTGGGAGGCTGTTCAGCAGGTGTTCGTAACCTGTTCTGGGCTGGTGAGGACAGGGACCCAGCAGTGAGCCACACAGGACTGTCCCTGGTCTGGTGGGGATGGAAYCTGGACACAAATGCATAGCCCTTTGGGCTCAGAGCTGGGGACAGCTGGGACAGCAGAAGCGCAGTAGAAATGGTGATTAGCTGCCTGGGGTGAGGAGGTCTGGGATAGTGTCACCAAAGAAGGAGCCTCCTCCTGGGTCCTCACTGGAATCTAGGGCAGGATATTCATAGCAGAGGGAAGAGCCATGTTTCAGAAGAGGCCTGGAAGATGGATGCAAAGGTCTCCGTTCCACAAACATGCAGGCACAAACAACGCTAGATGTCACGCCTCGGTCTCTGCTCTCAGGAACAGACGGTGCACACCCCACAGGCATGTGCTTCGAGCCGTGAGACGGGTATGAAGGAAAAGTAGAGTAAGGGACAGAGGGAGGGCTGAGGAGGACTGCTGGTACACAGGGTAAGTGACTAGGGAATTCCTGAGAAGGTGACAGTGGAGCAGAGTCGAGGAGAAGAGGGAGTGAGTGTGGTCTACAGCGAAGGCTCTGAGGTGGGTTCATACCGGGGCTGTTGAGAGAAAGCCAGGAGCCCACTGTGGCTGGAGAGGACAGAAAAGGACATCAGAGAGGTGCCAGAATGCCTGTGGCCGCTGTTCTGTTGTGGGCAGAGCACAGGTGCCCTGGCCAGCTCTGAGGAAGTAGGGTCCTCAGGCAGTGGATGAGGGTAAGGTTGGTGCCGCCCCCGAGCGTCCTTGGGCAGGGCCCTCCCTGGCAACTGAGGAAGCCGCTGTTTCCCTGTCATCGTGGGGTTTGCTCTGCAGGTGCACCCCTAGACCACCTGCTGATAACACCCTTTCCTGTATGTCAACTTCAAAATGTCCCCTTTTCTTAAACCTAAACTTGTCCTAGGTATGTCCTTCCTACCCACAAAATCACCACCGTAATATATCTACACTTAGAAAAAAATGTATCTCCTCCACCTGACCACATACATCCACATACATGCTTATGTATGTATGGTTTCTTCCCCAAATGATGTTATGTGTGTTTTAATTTGTTTAACTCCCTGTTCAAATGCGGTGGGTGTTGGCCAGCACCTATGTAGCTCTCCATGTCAGCCGAGTGGAGTCCTGCTGCTCTGTGCCTCACTTTCCACATTTATCAGGTGGAGTAACAATGGTACCCTCCTTCCAAGGGTTGCTCTAAGGCTTTGCCGTGTGTGTGTGTGTGTGTGTGTGTGTGTGTGTGTGTGTGTGTGTAGGTAGATAAATAAAGAGCAGGACTTTTAAAATAGTGGTGGGTGAATGCTTTATTGTTGCCGCTAACCCCACTCCACCCCAGACACGCTTCTTGCTAGACATTCATTCTCTGGACACACAGATATGGAGCATCTACTGTGTGCCAGGCCCAATTCCGTGCCCCCAGGCCCCATCTGTGGAGAAGGAAGGTCGTGCCAGGCTGCCCTCTCCATCCTGCAGGTCTGAATGGGGGCAGTTGGGCTTAGCCCTCTGTCCTCCGACACCACTCTCTCCCCTCGTCTGTCCTGACAGGCCCTGAGCATTCCTCTGACTCCGAATATACTCTCTCAGAGCCGGATTCCGAAGAAGAAGAAGATGAGGAGGAGGAGGAGGAGGAGACCACTGATGATCCCGAATATGACCCGGGCTACAAGGTGAAGCAGCGCCTTGGGGGAGGCCGGGGAGGCCCGTCTCGCCGGGCCCCCCGTGCAGCCCAACCCCCAGGTCCCCCAGCCCAGCCTTGCCAGCTCTGTGGCCGCTCACCGCTTGGGGAGGTCCCACCGGGCACCCCACCTTGCCGGCTCTGCTGCCCTGCTACAGCTCCCCAGGAAGCACCAGCCCCTGAAGGGAGGGCCCTCAGGGAGGAAGAGGAGGAGCCACCCCGAGCTGGGGAGGGACGGCCAGCTGGGCGGGGGGAGGAGGACGATGAGGAGGAGGAGGGCACTTACCACTGTACAGAGTGCGAGGACTCCTTTGACAACCTCGGCGAGCTCCACGGCCACTTCATGCTGCATGCCCGGGGTGAGGTGTAGGCAGAGCCCCCCACCCAGGGAGCTGGGCAGAGGGGTGGGGTGGGAGGAGGGGGCTGAGGAAGCCAGCTGGTCATGGGGAGTGGGGTACCGCTGATCTGTGTTGTCTTAGTCGTAGACATGTGAAGGCCGGAATAAAAGGCAAATTCTGTGTGTGCTGGCCTAGCATGTGTTTGGTGGGGTGCGTGTGTGTGAGATATGAGATACACACCTGGGCCTTTATCCCCACCCCCACCCCAGGCTTCTCCTTGTGGCACCTCAGGGTCACTGTGGCCAGGATGACTCTCCACTTCCTAACCGCTGGCCATCTGTGTGGTTCATGTATTTAYTCGTAGACTCCAGGATGAAGAGGCTCCAACACAACAGAATTTTGTTTCTCACTCATTTAATAGTCCCAGGTGGGTGATTTGGTAACCAGGCTGCCCCTTAAGACTATCATCACCCACACAGGGTGGGTGGCCACACTTGGGCCCCACTGGTGGGGGAGGACAAGGAGCCTGGAAGTTCTTCTGCGAGCCCTAGCCTGCCTTGACCAAGGAGCCAACTGCAAAGCAACCTGGGAAAGGCAGTCTAGTCAGGCCCCAGAAAGTAGGATATGGTTTGTGGGGGACAGCTAGTGTCACATTGCCTGAGCACCTCACAAAGAAGACTGCCATCAGAATCATACAAGGCTTTGCAAGCATTTCCTAAGAGTCTGGTTCTGGGCCAACGGCTTAATGTATATGGACTCAGAAATTATGCATCTAGGAACTTACAAAAATAGAAACTTCGTGATAATTCTAGCTCCCATCTTCCCAAGACTTGAACAGTGCTGTACTTTATTTGCATGAGATCATTTGGTTCTTGAAATAACTTTGTCAAGTAGGGATTGTAATGCATTTCATTTAACAAATAATTTTTGGTCACCTGCTGTGTGCTAAGCAATGAGAATGCACCAGTGAATAAGATCCTTGTCTTCGTGGAGTTGATGTGGGGTGAGTAGGGGCTGCCACTGGAGACAGAAAACAAATGAGATACAGCAAATGCTGGATGGTGGTAAATGCAGTAGAGAAAATAAAGGAGAGGGAGAGAGGGGAGAACAGTTCTGGAAGGGGTTGCCCTTTTAAGTAGCATAGTCCTCCCTGAGAAGGTGACCGGGACCTGAAGGAAGGAGGGAGGGAGCCGTGCTTGTGGGTGGAGGAGAGAGRTGCAGTTGAGTGGAGTAGGAGCCTGCCTGGGATGTCAGGGAGACCTGAGTGACAGCAAGGGAGGGAGGAGGGCCGAGCTGAAGGATCAGTGAGGGTCAGAGSGTAGCAGAGGGCTGGCTCATCACAGCCTTGGTGAAACCTGGGCTCTCTGGGATGGGAAATACTAATTGGCAGAGGATTGGCACCAAAGCTGCTTTGAAAAATAGACATCTAATTATGATAGTTACCGTTTACTGAACATTTATATGTGCCAAGCCGTGTTCTCGGGTGCTTTACATGGGTTCGCTCACAGAAGCCTGGCAACTARGAACCTCCAAGAATAGACCTGAATTACCATAATGGCGTCATTAAGTCAGCACTGCCAGCAGACCAGGCCCTGGGCTAAGTGCTTTATGTGAACAAATACGTGGGATCCTTAGGAGGCAGGGACTGTTGTGGTTGTTTCTCATTCATTCAGCCGTGCTTTATCAAGTACTTGTGAGAGGCAGGCACTGTTCTGGGAGCTAGGAATGCCGCAGTGAACAGAAAAAAAACCTCTGCCTTCACGGAGGTTATGTTACAGTGGGGAAGACAGTAAGCAGATGATTAAGTAAAATATACCAAATGTGTAGAAGGCAGAAGAAATAGGAAGCGCAGYGGGAAGCTGGTGTGTGGAAGGTTGTAGTGTTCAACATGGTGGTCAGGGACCACTGAGGTCAAGTACCTGAGAAGGTGACATCAAATCCGGACCTGGACAAGGGAAAGGAGTGAGCCACTGGGCTGTCTGGGGAAGAGTGCAAGAGTCTGGGGGGGCCTGCTTGGGATGTGTGAGGAAGTGCACGAGGCGCCATGAGGCTGGAGCTCTGGGAGCAAGGGGAGGACTGGTAGGTGAGGCAGCGCGGCAGAAGGCTGTGCCATGTCGGCCGTGGCACCTTGGCTTCCTCTGAGTCCTCATAGTAACACAGGGGCAATTTTCATGACCATTTTATAGCTGCTGTAGCAGGAGTGTACAGCCATTGAGTTACCTGCTAGAAGTCACACAGCCAGTGAGAAGCAGAGCTCAGGTTTTAACCGAGACAACCTGGTGCAGGGCATAGGTTCCACTACTAAGCTGCACACCACTGTGGCTGCCCACAGCTAGTCAGGCTGACTTGAAAGGATGTAGATGTCTCTACTGAGGGCTTATTTTTTGCAGTGTTGAGRATTCAAACTAGGTGCAATTTACTACTGAGCTACAATCCCAATTATTTGTTTTATTTTTTATTTTGAGATGGTCCTCCTAAGTTGCTGAGGCCAGCCTGGGACTTGTGATTCTCCTGCCTCAGCCTCCTCAATAGCTGGGATTACTGTCACACACCACCATGTCTGGCTAGCTACTGAAGTTTTTAAGATCACATTGATTACCAACATTGAAAATTGGGAAATTTCACATAAAAATGGAAGTTTCTGCCTTCTTGAAAAATTATGAGAGTGGGACTCCCTCCCATGAGGCAGTAGTTTGATATACTSAGTGGGGGCCACCTCCTATGGGAGAGGCATTCATTCTGGGGTGCCCCATACCTGACCTGCCTGGCACAGAACACATTTGATACCTGTTGTAGGATCTTGGACCAAAGTGTCTTTCAAAATCCACACTTCTCATCCAAGTCACAGAACCTGACATCTAATCTTTGAAATGGAACTTCTATAAYCTTTGTCACTGATCATCACAAAATCTGAGGTGTCAAGGCATAAATTCACAGCTGGTAAAAACAAGATGTTTTATTGTAACAAAATACCTGAGACTGGGTGCCTTATAAAGATTAAAAATGCATTTCTCACAGTTCTGGAGACTAAGTACCATCAACGTCAGTGGCTGATGAGGGCTGCTCTCTGCTTCCAAGATGGTGCCTTCTTGATGTGTCACGGTGGAAGAGATTGAAGGGCCTAGCTAGTTCCCTGGAGCTCTTTTAAGGTCACTTAATCCCATTCCTGACAGCAGACACCGCTAGTAGCAAAGGAATGTGGAAAATAGTTTCCAGAAAGCCCCAGCATCATGGAGGCTTAGTGAATGAGTATTTTCTTTCTTTCTTTTTTTAATATTTATTTTTAGGTGTTTTTTTTTTTTTTTTAGGTGGACACAATATCTTAATTTTTTATTTATTTTTATGTGGTGCTGAGAATCTAACCCAGTTCCTYACACATGCTAGGTGAGCATGTTACCACTTGAGCCACATCCCCAGCCCCATGAATGAGTATTTTCAAGACTCCACCCTAAGCTCCATCTTAGGCATAGGTTGAAGCATTGGGGGTCTGAGATATGACATTTCCTGCTCTCAGGAGCTGTTAGAGTATAAAAGGACACAAGATAATCACATCAACCAGTCAACCAAAGGGTGTTGATTTCAGCTGCTAAAGAGTGCTCTGCAGAAAATAAGTCAGAAGAAAGGATGGGAGTGACTCTTAATTAGGCAGGCTGAGGGGGACTTCTCTTAGGAGGTGGCTGTGTTGAGACCTGACTGATGAGGAGTCAGCTTTGCAAAGTTCTGATGTAAGAGCACTCCAAAGGAAATAGCAGGTGCCAAGGCCCTGAGGCAGAAGCAGTCTGGCATGTGCAGCTTGAACAAGAGGAAGGGATTTTATTGCTTTCTGGGCTGGAACTCAGTCATAATCAGGTTTGGTGGGCTTGTCTTCAAATATTACTTATGGAGTGCCACTGTAGGGTTATAAGAGCAGAGTGATGTAAGCTGACTTTACACACAGGGTAGTCTATAGTAGAGGCTAGAGAGGGGAGTGGTAGCAAGGGGAGCAGTTAGGAGACTCAAGAACTAGAGTCATGCAGGCAGTTGTGCAAGAGGCCAGAGACTGTAAGAGTCATGTTGACCCATTTTGAGATTCATTGTCCAGGTRACTATACCACATGCCTGGGGTTTGGGCTGTAGATGAACATTTGGAAGCCAACAGTGATGCTATGTAGAGTCTTAGGAATCTACGGCATCTGAGGAATGTGGAGAGAACAGGAAACCCAAAGGGTAATTGAGGCCACTATTTATAGTGGGAGAACATGTGGCCCTTATTTGGGATTAGGGGAGCCACTATGGGAGTAATGTGAAAATGTCKGAACTGGAAACACCTATGCTTTCACTGTTGCCAAATGGAATATTTGGCTTTGGTGAAGTTGATATCTTGGGAGAAAAGAAGTGTGATAGTCAACTAACTGTAAACCTGTTTCCCCATAAGTCACCTCAGCAAAGAGTTCCAGGATAGACCTGTCCCAAATTCTATGCACATGTGCGTGCACACACACACACACCAGGTAGGACTAGTATTTCCCAGGGTGGGAATCTGTGATTCCAGACTCAGAGTAGGTTTGAAGAGAGGGAGTCCAACAGGAGTCTTCAGTTAAACAAGGGGTTCACAAACTTTTATGCTAAAGGGACAAATTGATTTGTGGACCATGAGGCTCTGCTGCAACTACTCAAATCTGCCATTCAATGTGAAAACAGCCATAGAACAAAAAAAAAAAAAAAAGAAAAAGAAAAAGAAAAAAGCCAAGTATGTTCCAGTAAAACTTTATTTGTAAAACTCAGCAGCAGCTGGCTTGATTTTGCCATAGTTTGCAGACTCCTGCCTTGGGCTTGAAATTCTGCTGCCTAAAACAAGAGACCCAAAATGACGGTGGCTTAAACAAGATACAGTTGCTTCTCTTACATGTTATCAGAATGATGGCTGGTATGGTGACATCCTGTGAGGTTGGCCAGAGACCCAGGCTCCTGCTGTGTTGTTGCTCTGCCGTCCCACATACTGCTCTTRTACTCACAGTCCAAGGTGGCTGGGCACCGTGTCCACGTTCCAATTAGAGGAAGGACATGTACCTTTTTCAGGCCTATTTTACCTAGGAATTTAGCCAGAACTTAGCCACATGACCACATTTAGCTGCAGGGGAGTCTGGGATGTGTGGTCCTGTGCTCCCATAAGCCTAACTAAAAATAGAGATAGCTATCAATTTCTCCCACAACCACCTCACCTGTGGATTTAAAAAACATCCCTCAATTCAAATACAGCCTGAGCAATGAATGCAGAGCATCAGCTATTATCTCCAGAGGCAGGGCAGGCATTTTCAGGGACTAAAAKGGGCCTGGAAGGACTTATCTCCGGCTGAGGGCAACACTCACCGCTTAGCTGCAGCTTGTAGCTTTTGYCCTGCTGACAGTGTAAGTCCTGGTCTTTTCAAGAGAACTGAAAATAGGATCTTAATGGGAAATCTCCCAGTGTTGGCCAAATGAAACATGAAGCAGAAGGTATCTCTGTTTGACTCCAAACTAGTTTCCCTACAGGACTAGGCCAACTCTGCCCTGAGCTCCCTCCTCCCCACATCCTTATGTTCTCTAGCAATTCCCACTCAAAAGCCAGAGCTCCCTGTTTAGACATTTTAATATGGATGTTTGGTTTTTAGATACTATTCCTGTTAGCTTATTCATGCCATCTTCCCTACACACACACACACACACATATAAAAACCCATTCCTAGAATGGTACACAAAATTATTTAAATAGGGCATAATGCTCTGTCATCCAATGCCATGGCTGCTGTCTGAGTGGAGAGGGCTGGCAGACAGGGAGGAGCCAGGACCTAAACTGCAATGCCTTTTGACTTGGGGTCTGGCTCCCACCTTGCTGCCCCATCCCCAAATACCCAGGTTGCTCCAGGTCTGGAACACACCCAGTCTCATTACAGGACAGCAGCACCGCCCTTCCCTGCCCCCTACTCAGGCACAGATTCAGGGCAATTTGCTCCTGCAGCCCATGGCACCCATCTGGGAAACATTAAAGGTGATTACACAATCTGCAGCTAGTTATTTAACTGGGAATGAGGGAGAATAATTTTTCCTTCTCTATTGTGCATTTTTTTTCTTCTTTTTTTTTTTTTTCCTTGCTCATTTTCTTAAAAAGATCTCACTGTTTGCTGATTTCACTGTTTCCCTAAAGGACCTATGTCCTCCAAAGACTGAAAGTCTAAATGACAGCCTTCTGGGTCCTATTTGTCCAGAGCCTTTTTGCCTTCCCAGGGTGGGAAGCAAATCCCTCCAAAGCCCCCAGAAGACCTGTGCCCTTATCATGGGTGGGTCCCACCAACCAGAGCCCGCATTTTAAGTGTGCATCTTAAGCACTGTTGAGGGGCTTAAGCTGTACTCAGAGTTCCCCCCGAGCATGTCGAATATAGTGTTGATGGAGCCCTGCTTCCTGGGCAAAGTCCTGACCACACTCCGTACAAGCAAAGGGACCAGGGTGGGTGTGGGCCTCATGCACCAGGCGGTGCCGCCTCAGAGAAGCAGCCTGCCCAAAGGTCTTGCCACAGTCAGGACAAGGGAAGGTGGGCTGGGCAGGGGTGGGTGCACCTGKCGAGGAGGGCCTGGCTGCTGGACCGTGGCTGCGTTGGTGGATGATCAGGGCCTTGGAGGAGGGGAAGGAGCGGGCGCAGGTGAAGCAGATGAAGAGAGCCCCCTGCAGTTTCTGGGCCACGAAGTCCGCTGGGTGCTCCCGCTTCATGTGACGCTCCTGGAACTTGGAATCGGCGAAGGTGATGAGGCAGCGGGTGCACTGTGGGGCCCCTAGGTGGCCTAAGGGATGTGGGGAGAGGTCGGGGAAGGCCAGCAGGAGTATCCAGGACCTCTCCCAAGCCCCAGAATTATGCCAGCAACTACCACTGAATGCTATATGTGCTAGGAATGAGTTAAATGTTTGCAGTTATTATTCCTAAGACAGAGAAAAGCGCCTGATATCTAGAAGCTGACCTGACATGGCAAGGCCTTGGTGTTCTACTGGTGTTGTASAAGCAAGTACAGAACTGTTAAAAACCCATTTTATGGGTGAGCAGACACAAGGCTCCATAGGTCAGCAAGTTACCCACAATCACAAAGCTAGAAAAMGAAAAGGTGGGGCCAGGGAATCTGCCTATCTGACACAACATGTGGTGGCTACAGTAGTGCCTGGGATTGGACCCCAGCTCCACCACTTCCTAGGCAAGTACAACAGTTTGCTCACCTGGAAAATAAGGTAATAACAGCATCTCTTTTTAGGATTTTTGGAAGGAACTAGTTAATTTATATAGTGCCGCTTTAAACAATGTTTGCAGTTATTACTCCCAAGACAGAGAAAAGCGCCTGATATCTGGGAGCTGACCTGACATGGCAAGGCCTTGGAGTTCCTCTGAACACAATTCCACAGAATAACAGTGACAGACAAGGTGTTGCCGTGACTGGGATGAGTCAAGACAAGACCACACCATAATAATATCTGGATACAAACAAAACGTGAACATTGTCTAAGCCATGACCAGCCACCCCTCTATTCTTRCTAATGTGAGTGATCACAGCTGCTTTATCAATCACAACTTGACCTCATATTTTTTCTCCTCCTAGATAAGGTTAAGAGAGCCAGTGAGAGCTGTCCTACTTCCTGGAAGTATCTAATCCCTAGCAAAAGCCCCATTCTTTGACCCATTCCCAAATCATCACATGGAAGCTACATTATTTTTTTGTACTGGGGATTAAACCCAGAGGCACTTAAAACCACTAAGCCAGATCCCCAGGTTTTTTACTTGTTTGTTTGGGGCTTTTGTTTTGTTTGAGACAGGATTTCATTAAATTGCTTAGGGCCTCACTGAGTTSCTGAGACTGGCTTCGAACATATCCTCCTGCCTCAGCCTCCCAAGTCACTGGGATTACAGGCATGTGACACTGCACCCAGCTCCCTATAAATCCATTTTAAACACACATCCTGAGACACTCTAGTTTCCCCATGATACGTGAACAATAAACCCAATTTGTTCAAACAAGACAGATGTGTTGCTGGTGATCTAGCTAGACCGCACTCACACTACGGCTCTTGTTACATATTTCTGACTCAGTTCCCTCACCTTAAAGTGACACGGGGTCCATGATTAAGAGAAGCGAATGAGTGTTAAACTCAGTATGAGAATGACTGCACCTAGCACATATTAAGCATTCAACAGGAGCTGCTGCTACTGTAAGTCAAACATTGTACCTTTATTAAAATCAGGCTTTCCCCCCTTTTCTGCAGTTAATTCCATAACAGCCCTTGGAGGTGGGTAGTGGCAGGTCTCCCATTCCCATCTCCTGTATTAGGGACTGAATGCAGGGATCTCTACCAGCTATACATCCTCAACCTTTTCATTTTTTATTTTGAGACAAGAGTCTGAGGCTGGCCTTGTACTTGATCCTCATGCCTCAGCCAGAGATCCTGGGATTACAGGCCTGTTCCACTGAGCCCAGTGTGGCAGCCTCTTTTGACAGAGGGGCCACCACATTCAAAATTTAGGTCAGAACCTTGGTGCTTCCCTCACAGTAGAGAGATTCCTAGCCTCACTTCTAACCCAAACCTCTCTTGGAAGCCACCCTATCCCTCTGAACTGCATCCCTTTTCTGCTAGGTGGAAGAGCAAGGTGAGTACACCTGAGCATAAGCATGAGGAGAGGCAGTTCCTGGTAGGCCAGCTCCAGGTCGTTCCATCCCCTTCCCAACAGGCAGGGCCCCGTAGCACCATAGGCACGGAATGCGTAGRCTTGTGGGTCACCCTCATCTGGCCAGCAGTACTCACAGATGTTGCCTCCTGGGCTGCTGGGCCTCCTCTCCTTGGGTGAATCCTGTTGCTCCATGGTGTCTTCGGGGTGTGAGTCCTCCATGGTGACTGAGACTCCTCTGGTCAAGACAGGAAWACGCGTGTGTGAGGCTCCTCATTTGTCACCAGCCCTAAGGAGCCTGCTAATCCTTTAGTGCCCACCTCCTGGAACTCGCTGACTGCGCTTTCTCTAGACAAGCCTCAACCCACCCGGATTAGATCCCTGGGTTTGTGATTTCCCTTGGGGCCTTCTCACCTGTGTGACCTATGACTCCCTCCACCCAGCTAACTCCCTGACAGGGTGGGACCCTTGGTCTGGACACCAATCCCATTCCAGTCTCACATATCTGGGGGAGGGTCGTTGTACCCACCCTTTAACCCGCCTCTTCCCGGGAGCCATCTTTCTCTGGCATCCTGTGGCTTGTTCCTCTCAGAGCCCCTGCCTCTCAAGCACGCTGCCAGTCGCAGTGTCCCGCTGCCGCAGCACAGCTTCAGCTCCCGCTCCGGACCAGTSGTCCCGGCCTCTGCTTTTCTGCCTGTGGCAGGGGGCTGCCTTTCGCTGCGCCTGTCAGCCGCGCGCCACAGCGCCGCCGCCCGAGGGGAGTAGAGTAGGGCCCACCCAGACTCGAGGTTCCGGGGTCTCCGCGTCCTTTCTCCGGAAGAGCCTCTCGACGCCGAGGTCAGGGATTGCTGTCCGGCAGTAGTACAGTCACACAGGCCCGGTCCTCAGACTAATGGCCGGGGGTCCTTCCTTGACCTGGACGCACTGTGATGACGTTGTGAACCGTGTGTACCGTACATATCGAAGTTTCCTGCGCCCAGTTAGGTGGGCGCTCGCGGCGCGCAAGCGCCTCGCCCCCTTCATTGTTCTAGGCCCCGAGACCGCAGAAGCTGGGGAGCGCGCACGATTCAGCTGTTCTGCAGCCAAGAACACGCYGTCTCCACCGTCAAGTTCCAAGATACCCCGCCTGGTAGAGGGAGTGGCGTCAGGTTAGAACTGTCCGATCGCGTCCTAATGTCTTTAAATCTGGGCGTTCTGGCCTCCTCGGCCTCCGTCCTCCGGGCTGGTCAGTCTCCTCTGCGACTGTGCTCCTGGTGTGTTGGCTTTCTGCTCCGTTGGTGATTTGGGAGGAGGAAGAGTCATCCCCGTGTCCCCGAGGGACAGGAGATTGAAGGTTGGACTTCTGAGGTGTTGAAGTAGAAAGGGAAACGCTAGCACTCAGAAAAAGGTGAATAGGCACCGGGGCCCCCAGGGAATAAGCCCAATATGCTGGGTTTCTAGGTCCTGGAGCGTGACACCCAGGTATGGAAATAGGAGACAGGGTGGAGGACTGAAGACTGGGCTAGGAAAGAAAAAGGCCAGGTGTTGCCTGACTCGTGTCTTCCCCGCCCTTGTTTTCCAGCAATGCTTCCGCCGCGGGGTGACGTGACTGCTTTATTCCTCGGGCCTCCGGGCTCRGGAAAGTCCTCGCTAATTGCAGCGCTTTGCGACAAGAATGTGGAGACGGTAGAGATCCCCGAAGGACGGCCGGACTCTGGGATCCCTAGTTTGAGAGCTGCGGGCCCAGGTCTTTTCCTGGGTGAACTGAGCTGCCCACCCGCGGTGCCGGGGCCCTGGGCGGCGGAGGCCAATGTGCTGGTATTGGTGCTACCCGGGCACGAGGGGAACGGGGAGCTCTTGGACCCAGCATTGGCAGAGGCAGCGCGGGCCGCCCTAGCCCGAGGGACCCCGCTGCTTGCTGTGCGGAACCTCCGCCATGGGGACTCGCAGAATGATGCCCGGGCTCAGACAGCAGCCTTGCTGAACAGCGCCGGGTTAGGAGCGGCCACTCTCTTTGTGCTGCCGGCAGAGTGCTGCAGCAGCGATTGCTGGGAGGAGCTAGAACGCCTGCGGGTGGCACTGCGGAGCCAGGCGGAGGCGCTGCAGAGGTGAGTGACAGGCTTTCAGGCTGGGTGGGGAGGCATGATCCCCTTCGTCTAGACCCCATCTCTGAGGAATTTGAGGGGAGACTACTGCCAAGGCTCCTCTCCTTTGCCCAGATCCGGCCTCGTCCTCATAGGTTTTGAGGTCCGAGAGGCTCCACCCCAAGCTTCTGCTCTGCTTGACCCTTGTCAAGCCCCGCCTCCTGAGAGCCTTCTGAGGTCACAAGCTCTGCAAGAATTCTAGGAGGGACCTGGAGCTAGCCTGCAAATACTGCCCGCAGGCAAAAAAAATTTTGAAGTAAGACTCCATTTCACCACAAAAGTTTGTGATCCTAGTGAAGATTTTACCCAGACTCAAAACTCTCAAGTCCTTTTCTCCTCTCCTACCATCAGTTTGGCTCTCAAGCAACCCCAGTTGCCCAAAAGGCATACCTGCAATGACCTTTATTATATCTTGAAGTCCTCCCTCACTTCCTTTCTCCAGTTCCCTCTCGTGTCTGTTTCTACTTGCTGGCTACCTCCTAAACTCCCCGCCCCCTACTGTCAGCCACCTCATTTTATGGATGTCAAATTGGAAGTTAAAAAGTGGCATCTTTTTTCCTTAACCTCACTTGCCTTGTGTCACCTTAGTCACATGTCCTTGGTAGGAGCTAGTATCAGAGATGTTTCTCCCCTCACTGACCCTCCTAACTCCTGGCTTCTGGAAAGAACTCACTTGGGGACCCCCTCATTTGTCAATAGTGCTCAATTTCTTTAGGCTACGATATAGTTGCCATTCTGTCCTTCCTCTAAGCTAATCCCATATGAGTTGGTTACACCCAACAGATTCCAGGAAACCTGCCCCCACTACTAACCCCTGGGTGTGTTCCAGAGAAATCTTGGTCCTGGGGGAGCCCTCATTTATGACTATCGGGAACCAGATCCTGCCTCACCCCAGGATTGTTCAGAAAGCTCTACCCTTGTCACAGTAGCCCAGGCTTTATTCCCCAGATTTTCTCATGTTTAGCTACCTTTGACTGTATCCCTCCCTGCTCCCACAGGCTCCTGCCACCGGCYCAGGATGGTTTTGAGGTGCTGGGCGCAGCTGAGCTGGAGGCTGTGCGGGAGGCCTTTGAGACCGGTGGCCTTGAGGCAGCTTTGTCTTGGGTGCGCTCAGGCCTGGAGCGCCTGGGCAGCGCAAGACTGGACCTGGCAGTGACTGGCACAACTGACATAGGCCTTGTKCTGAACATGCTACTTGGGTTGGATCCCAAGGACCCTGGTGCAGTGCCTGCTTCTGTACCCACAGTGCCCACCCCCTTCCCAGCACCAGAGCGCCCAAATGTAGTGCTCTGGACTGTGCCTCTGGGTCCCATGGGCACTTCCCCTGCTGCTGCCCCTCACCCCACCCACTATGATGCCCTCATCCTCGTCACTCTCGGGGCCCCCACTGAGAAGGACTGGGCCCAGGTCCGCTCCTTGGTGGTACCAGATGGGCCCCTCGTCTGCGTGCGAACAGATGGTGAGGGCGAGGATCCAGAGTCTCTGGAAGAGGAAAAAATAAAGCCCAGGGATGCAGACTTACAGAAGAAAGGCGAAGGGGGATTGGAGAATGCACCCAGCGACCCAAAGGAAAAACCTGGCACTGGATCTCAGAAAGCAGGTGGGGAAGATTCAGAGAAGGCTGGCAGCGAAGGTGTCGGCGCCAAGAAACCAGGCAGTGGGGACTCGGGGGGCACTGGTGCTTTGAGTCCGGAGGACGAGACGTGGGAAGTGCTGGAGGAGGCTCCCCCACCAGTGTTTCCCCTGCGGCCTGGTGGACTCCCCGCGCTGTGCGAATGGCTGCAGCGCGGGCTTCCGCCAGCCCAGGCTGGGGCGCTGCTGCTGGCGCTGCCCCCCACCTCTCCAGGCGCTGCCCGCAGAAAGGCTGCAGCRCTGCGTGCTGGGGCGTGGAGGCCGGCTCTGTTGGCTAGTTTGGCGGCGGCWGCAGCCCCTGTACCAGGGCTAGGCTGGGCGTGCGACGTGGCGCTTCTCCGGGGACAGCTGGCCGAGTGGCGGCGGGCTCTGGGGCTTGAACCTGGGGCCCTGGCACGACGTGAGCGTGCCCTGGGCCTGGCTCCTGGGGAGCTGGCCGCCCGTACTCACTTCCCAGGCCCAGTGACACGTGCAGAGGTGGAAGCAAGACTGGGTGCCTGGGCCGGTGAGGGCACTGCTGGTGGCGCAGCGCTGGGTGCACTGTCCTTCCTGTGGCCTGCAGGTGGCGCAGCTGCGACTGGTGGTCTGGGCTACCGCGCGGCCCATGGTGTCCTGCTGCAGGCACTAGAAGAGATGCAGGCAGATGCGGAGGCCGTGCTGGCGCCCCCTGAGCCCACYCAGTGAGGGATGGGATGGGAGCCAGGGCTTCTGGGGCTGCGAAACCCAAGCTCCGTTAGATGGGGGGGGAGGGGGTCGAAGTCTGCCCCTTTAAGATAAGGGGTGGGGGTGTCTAGTACTCGGAATTCTGGGGGTTTGAGGATGCAGGTTCTGATTTCTAGTCATCTGGATTTGTGTAGGGGAGTAGAGTCTAGGGGACAGGACTCCTGACTTCTCTGTAGACCAGGGAGTAGGCCATCCATACCCTTGTCCTGAAGGGATTTGGGGACCTGGAGTCCTAGAAGCAGGGTGCATCTTGGTCTCCAACTGGAGTTTGGGGCCTCACCAGGGWAGTAAGGCTAGAATGCCTTGATTCCTAACGGGGGGATCTTGGGCTCCATATAGGGGAAGTAGGTCTGGGTTTTCCAGGAGCCAGAACCCTCGAATCTGGCCTTCAAAGGGAAACAAGATCTGCTTCCTTGAAGGAAAAGGCCTATACACAGCCTCCCAGGATGCMGAGGGACTTTGAATCTTCTGTGGGGTGGGATTTGTGTGTCTGAGGTCTCAGGTTCCTGATTTGCAGGRGCTGTGGGCCTTAGTTGCTAATTCTTGGATGATTGAAGGGCTAAATATGGAAAAGGGAACAGGGAGCCTACAGGAGACAGTGCAAGACTCCATGGTCTTTTGGAAGTGAATGGGTGTCTTGTATTTGCTCTCCAAGGGTCTAGTGTAGGAAGAATGATCCCAGAAAAGTAGCAGGTGGGCAAGAGGTATGTGCATGGTGGGCTCTGGGGTAGCCTGAGGTCTAGGTGTGGCAGAGCAGGAACCTCTACTTYAGACATACCTCTCACCTCTCCCTAATATACTTGGATCCTGGCAGCTGCTCCCAGGAATTTGGGAAGGGGTACRCCTACCCATTGTCTAGGTGCTTGGTGATTCAGGGTGTTCCAGGTAGGTGATTCAGGGTAGGTGTACCTCTGTCTTTCCTTTACGGTTCTATTACCTTTTTTGTTCATTTGGTTTCRGTCTTGCTTTCTTCTGTCATAATAGCCTTAACCCTTTTTTGCTTTGGCGTTTTGTGCACCTGGTTTTTAGAGAAGCAGCTGTACTGCTGCACTAGTCCAAACATTTTTGTGTGGCCTTCTCGGATATTCCTAAGAGACTCTGCCTTCTGGTGTACACAGAGGGTGCTGCAGCCAGTAGCATTGCCACCGAACGGATGTGCAGGTAGGTAGTCCAGATGGTGAGAATATGTCGGGGGTGAGGCAAAGGCAGAAACTGCAGTGCCTGCGTATTTTAAGCTGCTAACTATGTGTAGGCAGGAAACCTGAAATTATAAAGTGTCAAAAAASAAAGGGAGGATCTAACAGATGGGAAGAGCAAGTCCAGAGGGCAGGCTAGAGGCCCAATAGCCATAAGACGGCTTTGTGTGGTCTGGCTCCTGCCTCTTCTCATTCTTTGCCCTATTCCATTCCCAATGAGCCTGATAAGTTCTTCTGATAGAGTAGAATCTTGAGTCCTGCCTCAGGACCTTTGCACTTGTTATTTCCCCCTGTAATACACTGTTTCCATATCTTCCCATGATTGGCTCCTTGTCCATCAGGTCTCTACTCAGATGTCCCCTCAGAAAGGCCTTCCTGACCACCCTAACTGATGTATCTTGCACATCTTCACTACTGGTTCTGGCCAGTTGATTTACCTTGTAGCAAATATCACTATAAAAATKACCTTATTTATTTATTTATTATTTACCTGCTTATTGGCTATTACCTCTTTGCTTTTCTTGTTCTCTGGTATATACTCAATACCTAGAACAGTATCTGGCACACAGTAGGTGTTTAGTAAGTAATATTTTTAGATTCACAGATCAGTAGCAGAACTAGGGTAAAATTTAGGGCTGGAGATAGAGCAGTTTGTAGAGTGCTTGCCTTGCATGCACAGGGCYCTGGGTTCAATCCCCAGCACCACACACCAAAAAAATGAAATAAGAACTAGGGTAACATTTATAGTTTTGGCCTCCCAGAAAGGAGAGAGGAACAAGATGGAGAGAAGCAAGCATGGTTATGCCACTCACTCTGTCACTTGGATCTGTGCCTTATTTTCCCATCTGTGAAATGAAAGGGYTGGATGAGAACCATGAATGCATCCGAGATCCTATTTTCCTGGACAGCTGAAAACAAGGGTTACTGATCTGAGGGACAGATAGTTGGGGGACAGTACCCCCATCTTCTGCTTAATCTTACCACTGGTACAAATTGTCCCATCAAAGTCAAATGGCCATGATTGACTTGGTGCTAAATGGCTCTAGGCTTTGTGTACAGAACTCACTCAGCCTTAGAAAGATTGATTTTAATATATTTTGATTAACCCGAYGACCCCCAAATATTATCATTTCAACACATAATGTGTTAAAGGTAGTAATGAGATAGTTTACRTTCATTTAGTTCAAGATCCATTTTTGTATTTTAAACCTAGAGCATCTCAATTCAGATAATAAACTTTTATTAGAAAAGTTTGACCTCTTTAAATTTTATAAAATTCAGGCTGGGCACAGTGGTACATGCCTGTAATCCCAGCTACTCAGGAGGCTGAGGCAGGAGGATTGCAAGAAGGCCAGCCTCAGCAATTATATGAGCCCCTACATCAAAGAAGGTAAAGAGCTGGGAGTTTAGCTTGGTAGAATGCCCTGGGGTTCAATCCCGAGTATTGAAAAAAGTAAAATTCGGGCTGGGGATGTGGCTCAAGCGGTAGCGCGCTCGCCTGGCATGCGTGCGGCCCGGGTTCGATCCTCAGCACCACATACAAACAACGATGTTGTGTCTGCCGAGAACTAAAAAATAAATATTAAAATTCTCTCTCTCTCTCTCTCTCTCTCTCCCCCTCTCTCTTAAAGAAAAAAAAAAAGAAGTAGGGGAAATAGATGCCTCCAGTTTAAAAAAAAAAAAAGTAAAATTCATAGGTGACATAGATTCATATACCCAAGATCAAATTATATTTAATACTTCTTTGATAACTGAGATGAGTGTTAAAAGTAAATAAAATTAGGAGCTAGGATTGTGGCTCAGTGGTAGATCACTTGCCTGGATGTGTGAGGCACTGAGTTCAATCCTCAGCACCACATAAAAACAAATAAAATAAAGATATTATGTCCATCTACAACTAAAAAAAAATTAAGTAAATAAAATTAAAAATTTTAAAAAATTAAAAATTCCATTTCTCAGCTGCATTACCACATTTCAAGTGCTCAGTAGCCACTTGTGGTTAGTGGCTACAATGTTGACCAGTATCAATATAGAACATTTTTGTGATTGCAGGAAACTTACTAGCATAGCTGTAGGGTGAGACAGGCCTGCTGATTTTRGGCGTGATCTTGGGGAAGTCATTCAGCAAATGGCATCTACCTCATACAGGTTATGAGAGTTCCCTGTATGGATATACGTATCAGTGTGTGTGCAGCATGCTACAGACCCTCCTGAGAAGGTGGCCTGGGAGCTCAGTCCTCTTGCTTTTGCCCACACATCTTCAGCCCTGAGCAGCATGAAATGTCTCTAGCTTAGGCACCTGTCACCCCCAAGCCTTTGCTCAGATTGTCTTSTAGACAACTCTGTTCTGTGCTTTGTTGCTATTATTCCCTGTGCCCTAGTGCCAGAGATAATATCAAAGAAAACAAGACAATTTGTGTATGTGTGTGTGTGTGTTGAGTGCCAGTTACATTTATATAGTTGTATGTTGGCACATTTGGGTTTCATTGCTTCTGTTTTCGGTGCTTGCTTCTACGATTTTGGGTCCCCCTGCCCCTGGGGGATTGAACCTAGGACCTCAGATCCTGGGTTCTGCTGGGTAAGTGCTCTACCACTGACCTACATCCCCAGCCCTGGTGGCCTTTAATCATGACTTGATGGATTCAGTTTAGGAATTGCAGAGTCATACGGTTGTGTGAGTGAGGTATCTGTCCCTGGGAGCATCCAAGGAGGAAAGGCTAAAATTCCCTGTGGACAGATCACAGACTGCCATGGGATGGGTCTAATGCGGCACCCCAGGGCGGGAGACCTGGGAATGTGTGATGTACCTTGGTGTTGCCATTGCCAAAGCAAAAAAGACCCCCAAAACATGGGAGAATGAATGAGACACCCTCAYCACCGTAGCAGAGCTTTGCATTTCTGGGTCATGGTGGGGCTTGTGTCCATTGCAGTGGGGAACCAGGAAGGACAAATCAAGGGTATGGTGACCTATGGTGTTTTTTGGAGGAATGAATAAAAATGTGTAGAAATCCTATTGTGTGTTCTTTGGGGGTTTGAGTGGGGGAAATGCTGAGCCTCCTGACTAGGCTGGGAGCCTGGACTCCTGGGGAAAGATGGGTAGGGGAAAGATGATGGGGAATCTGTCCAGAGAACAATTCCTTAGGCTCTGATTAGGAGCYTTTATCTGCAGGATCTGAGTTTCGCCATCCTGGAAGGTGACTGTTAGGACCTTGAAGGTTTGCACATTTACTCCAGACCAGCATGACGCATTAATGTCCCCAGTTTGTTCAGCCTCTCTGTAGCGTGGCCTTGGATTGTCCTCTCTTGTCTCATCCACTGGGGCAACAGCAAATTTGATGCAAGAAGAGATTTTAAAAGTGCTCATGCATCTTGACTTCCTTCTGCTGTCCCTGGGACCCCTGCCCCCATTGCCAAATTAAGAAGCCTAGGCTCACTTGCTAGGTAATGAAGACACATGTAGCCCAGTTGTCCTTGGCACCTCAACTCAGCCAGCCAACACTCAGAAACACATCTGCCTAATCAACTGGCAGCTGAGACCAGCAGAAGAATCGCCCAGCTGGTCCCTGACCAATTCACCGATACACAGAATAATGAGCTAAATAAAAGTTGATTGTTATAAACTACAGAATTTTGGAGTGGTTTGTTATACAATGAAAGCCAACAGTCAAACTTGTTTACTCTGTGATGTGGTCTTTCTCCCAGTGATTAAAACCTTCAATGTGAATCCTTTCTGTGAGCTTCAGATTCATCTTTTGAAAACAAGGATGAGAATAACAGTGCCTATCACAGAGTTGTGAAGGTAACATGAGAAATGAGCTCTAAGAGGCCATGGTGGTCCTACATGCTATTGTGAAACATTCAACTGTCAGTTTTATAATCCTAGGGTGGGATTGCACTTCCTGGATTCCCTGTGGTTGTGTGAGGCCATRTGACTAGTTCCCTCGAACCAGTAGAAAGTGTTGCTGGGTGTGGTGGTTGATGTAACACCTGTAATAACTAGGACTGGGGACCCCAAGGCAGGAGGAGGATCACAAGTTCAAGGCCAGCCTCAGGAGCTTAAAGTGATTTCTGAGTCAGAGGGTTTTTTGTTTTTTTGCAGTAGTAGGTGAAGACGGGCATTCTATCACTAAATCACATCCTCAACGCCTTTTATTTTTTGAGACTGGATCTTGCTAAGTTGCTTAGAGCCTTGCTAAAGTACTGAAGCTGGCTTTGAAATTGCAATCCTCCTGCCTCAGCCTCCCAAGCTCCTGGGATTACAGGCATACACCACCACGCCTGGCTAAATCACAGCTTTTAATCACACATGTGAGGTTTTCCTGGGCTCTTTGCTTTGGGTATAGAAAGTGGCCATGCTCAGGCCGGGGTTATGGCTCAGCGGTAGAGTGCTCGCCGAGCATGTACGAGGTGCTGGGTTCGATCCTCACCACCACATAAATAAATAAGTAAAATACAGGTGTTGTGTCCAACTACAACTAAAAATAAATAAGTAAGTAAATAAACTCATTTAAAAAAAAAGAAATTAGCCATATTCAAGTTGGTGACTGCTCARTGACTAATGAGCTGAATGTGGTGCATGGTGCTAAACATGTAGAGTGAAGGAACAACTAATTTTCTGTGAATGGGCACTCATTCAGCAAACCTAACTCCCTCCCTCCCCCTGGAGGGGGAGGATACTTTTMTATCCCATTGCTCTTGAGTTAGGCTATATGACTTACCTTGCTCAAGCGGTTCTAACTTCAGCAAGGGTCTTCAATATACTTGACTTTTGTACTCCTGTGATCTGCCATGAGAACAGTTGAGGAAGCAACTGATCTGGAAGATTATGGAAGTGTACAAAGGGGAAGATTCCCTCCCCCCACCACCCTGTCACCCACACACACTAGAGCCAAATCAGCCAACACAGCTAGAAGTGGAGCTACCCAGCCAACCCATAATACTTTGAAAAAATATTGTCTCAGGTTTGGGTTCAGTACTTCAGCATTAGGTGATTCATAYAACTTTGCTTTATTTATTTATTTTATTTGGGTGCAAAGAGATTGAACACAGGGAGCTGTACCATTAAGTTATATCCCCAAACTTTTTTATTTTATATTTTTTACTTTGTCACAGGGTCTTTCTAATTTGCTGAGACTGGCCTTGAACTTTCCATGCTCCTTCCTGCCTCAGCCTCCTGAGTTCCTGGGATTATAGGTGTGTGCCACCACACCTGGCAACTTTGTTATTTTAAACCACAAAATTAGTGATTTGTTTATCGTCATAGAAAATCTAGTCTGTCCCAACTGGTGCCAGGGTTTAGCACCTGCCAACTAAAGGCCACTCAGTAGGTGGCAGCTATTATGATAATTACTATTTATTTAGACATATTGCTCACAGAATCATCATTCTCTTAAAAGGTAGAAGGCACTATACTAAGTGCTTTTAAAGTGTCCTTTCATTTGCCTCTTACAAAAGCATTATAAAGTCATAGCTATTAATATCTAATATAGCTCAGTTGGTACAGTGTTTTCTTCGCATGCACAAGGCCCTAGGTTCAATCCCCAGCACTACCAAAAAGGAAAAAAAAAATCTACATTTTGTAGACAAGAAAACAGGAAAAAACTAAGTAATCAAGAACTCTGGAGTCTCACAGACTCAGGTTCAAATCAGATTTGACCTTTCCTACCTGTTAAAACCCAAGGCAAGTGGCACCCACAATCTGCCTCAGTTTATTCGTCTGAAAAGTGGGTATAATATCATTTCTATAGATTTGTGATCATAAAATGAGGTATAACATAGAAATCACTTAGCACAAGGGCCTGGCAAAGAGTGTCCCTTAATAAAGTGCAAGGCCTTCCCTCTATCCCTGGAAAAGAGGAGGTTAGAAAAGAGGATTGAGATCTGTACCCTCTGCATCCCACCTCCCCAAAATGCATCATGTCACAAGTACTCAGGCTTGTTCTGTGAACTGGTTTAATTTATAGGGGAGCTGCAGAGCAGAACAAAAGGAGACCTCCAGCCATATATTCCTCAGGTCTTCACTCAGCCCGGCCAGGGGGATAGGGAGCTGGAAGGCAGTCTGCCCGGCGGATGAAGTAGAGGTAGGAAGCTGAGGGCACCTCGGCCCCAGGCTTTGTGTAGCAGGCACTCTCTGTAGCACAGCCTCGAGTGGCAAATTTGGTGTTGATGATACCTGGGAGGAGGGTTCCAGACTGGAGTCAGCCTCTTCTCATGGCCCAGGAATCCCCCCCCCCGCCCCTCCACCTCCTGGCCTAGTTCTCGGGAGCCCCTCCTCCCCTGGAACAGAGAGGTTTGGGCTTCCAGCTTTGGGATCCCTGTACCCTCAGAGATTCAGGGACCCCTCACCAGCCTGCACGTTGCCAGCAAAATAGATGCAATGTGTTTCCTGGCCAACACAGCGAGCTGCCTGGGTTCCCGGGCACGTCTCCTGGAAGGGCACGATGCAGGAGGGGCACATCAAGCCATTCTCAGTACGATTGTTCTGGGGAGCTGCAGATGAGGGTGACGTGTATAGTGAACAGGAATGTTTACACTCTTGCCCTAACCTCCCCAGAGCTCTGGGAATGCCAGGGCTGCTAATGGAAACTGCATTCTACAGGTAAGGAAACTGGCGCCCAGAACCAGTGAGGTGCCTTGCCAGGTGTTACAGTATGGGCCAAGCACACACAGTGGCTCTGGGGCAGAGCTGAGTTGGCACTTACGGGGCACGGAGCCACTGTTGCAGCCGTCACTCTGGCAGCAGCGTGCGTTGGTTACCATGTAGTCATTGGGGCTCATGGTGGTGGAGACGAAGCCTGAGTAGCAGTCGCTGAACTTCATGCAGGCCTTAAAGGTGCTCACTGCCTGCCGGCCCTCTGCAGAGGGGACAGGAGTTCAGAGCAGGTGGCTCAGATCTAACCCTACACTTCCACAGCGCCACGACCCCCTAGGATGGTCTCTTTCAATCCCCTAAAGTGACAGTCCCTGATTTGCCTGGTGTGTGGTCTGGAGTGGTTTATTAGATAGCCTTCCCTCCTTGGTGCCATAGAGTGGAGTGGGCCTTTGGTGGTCTCCGCATGGTCCCAAGTGCCTGCCTGGTGTGGCCTGTTCCACCATTCTCCTTCACCCCTCCATGCTTCTCTCCTTCCCTGCCAGTAGGAGTCTTGCAAGTCTGTGAGACTTTAAGACTTTGCTCCCCTCCCAGTAGCCCCTTCTAACAACCTGGGGGGGGGGCTGCCCCTGCTCCACACTCATATCTCAGATTCTTTCATGGTTACTCGCCAGAACTCCTCCCATCGGTAGTCTCTGGCTAGTCCCAGGTCTTGTCTGGGGTGGTTTCTTCCAGTCTACACAGCCTCCCTCCAAAAATTCAAAGTTTTCCCCTCCATACCCTTCTGAGGGCTGGCTCTTCCCCAGCTGCTTCTTCCCCTGACCAAAGGTCCATTTCCCACCTATATGCCTGGGGACGTGTCTTCAAGACTCTTGGGTCCTTCCCTCACCCGCCAGAGCTTGCTGGGTGGACAGGACAATATAGCAATCTTCTATCCCAACTTCCACTCACATCCCCTCCTGTCCAGAGAGTTTCTTCCTGATCGCAAAGTTGACCTTCACCTGCTGCAGCCATCATTCCCTTGCTAGGTCCCCAGCATCTCTACTCCTGTGACTAAGGGTCTCTTTCAGCTTTGAAGAATGTGGCTGCTTGCCCCGGGGAGGGGAGGGGATTGGCTTCCCTTGCTCCCTGTCTCCCTCTTCTTTCTCAGATCTGGGGATGGGGTGGGGCTCTAAGGATTGCCCTCTCTCTYCCTTCCATTTTACTCATGGGCTTCTCCACTCCTCCATTTCTACTTCTTCTTATGAAGATTTGCTTCCAGCTTCAGAATCACCTCTCTCCACTCTGGGGTGGTCGCTTTTCTGTCTCTCCCCCTAACCCAACATCATCGCTCCTCCGGTCTTTGGTCTCTTCCCTGATCACATTCCCTGACCCCARCCCAGCCTCTTCCTTCTTTACCCCTGCCCTATTTCTACCCCTTGCCTGTTAGATTCGTCCCCTCTCGCTCTCTTTTCCCCCATGTCCTTACCTCTCCTAGCTCCCCGACCACCACCACCTTCTCCTTTGGACAGTCGCATCTTCAGAATCCCTTACCACAATAGTTTCCATCGCATCACTCAATTATCTTCCTAAGGTCTTTCCCTCTTTCCTGCCCTCCTCTGACTTTCTTCCCACGCTTCACCTGTCCTGAAAACTGTGATGATCTCTCCTGGGGACTCAGGTACCCTCTACCCAGAAAGCATGCCCTCCCCGCCGGGGGCTTGACGCCGCGCCCTCCTACTTGTCCTGGACTCGCTCACGAGAACCACGCATGCGTCCTTGCCAGCCTCGCAAGTCTTCATTTTGCCGCTGCACGTGTGCCCGGAGCCTTTACACACCTCACAGCTTAGAGGCCATCCTGCAGGGTAGAGGGCGAGTCTGTAGTCAGAAGTGGCGTGGACGGCAGTCCACGAATTCGACTTTGGCGTTTAAAGGGGCGGGGCGGGGGAGGACTTGGGGTCCTGATGGAGGAAGGCCCAGCATCTCCCTGTGTTTTCATGGGTGGGGCCTTGATTTCTGTCCAGGGAACTGTCCAGAGTGACAAGGAAGCAGTGGTGCTGCCAGCAAAGCGGCTTCCAGGGGCGGGAAGCGACTCTGACTTGGAGCCTGTTTCCTTAATTACAAGGCTGGGGACTTTGGACGCCAGGGTCCTTTGTGCAAGCTCGGGGGCAGGGAGGGGTCGTGCCAAAGGTTTTCACGGACTTTGGTAAAACTTCAGGTCCAGCTGGTTCTTGGGTGTGGGACTCTTGCACAGGTACTGCACAGGTCTTATAAATGGTAAGAGTTCAGGTAGGGTACCTGAGGCTGGGGTCTGCGTTCAAGGGCAAGGTGAGAGAGTGAGGACCAGAAAGGACTGAGAGCATGGACTAAGAGAGGAGGCAACTCTACCTAAACACCTGGGCCCTAGGAAAAGTGAAGCTGTCCTGGACTCCTGCATCTCTCTGAAGAAGGAGGCAAGGTGTCTGAACTCAGTCCAGAAAGAAAGGAAATCTCTCTTATTTATTTTTTTTTAAATTTCCCTTTGGAGTCGTGCTCTCCTCTGATTTTCTAGAATTCAGATGTCTTACTTGGGGACCCTGTCTATAGGACAGAAGATTCAAAGCCCACCAAGCCCCCTCTCCCGGGKCTCTAACTACAGTGAGCTTTTCTTCTCCTGAGGCCCCAGGCTTTCTCCTTCTTATTCTCTGCCTCCTCTGCCTCCCCCATAAATCTGAATTCCCAGGGTACCTCCTCTTTCCTCCTTGAAGACCTTGCTGAATTCTCTCTCACAGTTCTCTTTGCTGGGGTCCCAGGAAGGAGTCCAGGTCCCTTGTCACTTACCGAGATCCAAGAGGGTGCAGAGCACAGTGGAGGCCAGCAGAAAGGTCCCCTGTCTTGTGGATGGTCTCATGGTGTGTGAACCTGCAGTCCTTGGTCCTCTGCCCTTATAGGAAGCTGAGGAGGGGCGGATCCAGACCCACCTTCACCCTGGGGTGAGAAATAGTTGAGGTCAGAACCCAGGGCAGTCCTCTGAAGCCTCCAGGTTGAAGAGGCGGGACCAACATCCAAAAGGGACTTCACCTTGTGTCCAGATCAATTCTCCATGGGAACCTCAGGAGTCTTCCTGTCATCTCTTCCATCAGGACCCAGGTCACTCTGCCCTATTTTCTCACCTTTCAACCCCTCCTCTAAACTCAAGTCGGTCCAATTACTTGATTACCTGTGAATTATAAAACACCTGCAAAGACTGAGATTCCCTCGCCCCATCTCCTCTCTCTTCTCAAGGAGGCGCCCAGCGTGGGTGGGGTCCTACCTGGGAGCACCTAGCATGTCCAGACTAGTCCTGTGGGGGCTGATCGCCTTGTCTCCCTTCCCTTCTCCTTTGCATTCTTGGCTCATACTCCCTCTTCTGTATTTGGACTGTCTGCTGTTCCAACCCCACCCAGGGCTGACTCCCTGGGTCTTGAGGGGATGAACAGAGAGGCACTTGTCAGGGGTCAGATGTGGGCGTGGTAGAAGACAAATGCCTGCAGGTCACATATTGGGAAACTGAGGCATTTGTAGAAGCACTCTAGGGTGTGTATAGTTTGGAAACATGCTTGTGTTCTATCCTTTCCTCCTTCTCTTAGCCTCAGGAATTGGGCTGAGAGGGATCTGAGTTGTTTTGTTGTTGTTTACCCTTTATTTTATTTATTTGTTTTTATGTGGTGCTGAAGATCGAACCCAGTGCCTCACACGTGCTAGGCGAGCGCTCTATCACTGAGCCACCACCCGAGTCCCCCCAAAAAAGGGATCTGAGATTTTTATCGTGTTTGTGTACGTATATGTGTGTGTGTGTGTGTGTGTGTGTGTGTGTGTGTGTGTGTGTTTTCAGGGAAAGGAGAGGAAGAGTGCAGCCGCAGAACAGGTGGAGGAGATCCTGTTTCACAAGGATCCAGGATCCGTGTGAACTGCCTTCTAAGCTTCAGTTTGGGCGGTGACTACGTCGTCCAATGAGAATGGCGAGTTTCTTTTAGGCACCAATCCCTGAGGCTGCCCCAGTTGCTAGGCGCCCGGAAAGCAAGGTGTTAACGTCATCAGGAAGCGGAGCTGGAGAGTGGTCGGATCAGAGAGGCGGGGCCGGAGAGAAAGCTTGTYGCTAGGGAACGCAGAGCCTCTTCCCGAAGAGATTCATCTGGGCTTGCGCAGTGTCGACGCGAGCGTCGGCGCGCCGCGGTTTGAAAGGCCCAAGCTTCGCGCGCTTGCGCACTTAAGCCCGCGCAGGGCGCCCTCCCTCCCCGCCCCCAAGCCAGGACCCTTCTTCATCCTCCCGTCCAGGCTAAGCCCCCGACATTGACATGCCAGAGATTCGCCTCCGCCACGTCGTGTCCTGCAGCAGCCAGGACTCGGTGAGGGACCGGCGTGGGGGAGGTTGGAAGATGCAAGGGAATTAGTGAAAGGGGGCCCCTAAGAACTTTGGGGTCTAAAAGGGAACTTCATGGAAGTCGAAGGAGGGGCATGGGGTTTCCAGAGACTGTAAGTGAATTCTGGGAGAAATGTGGAATTGAACTTTTGGAACTTCCGGAGAGAAATGGAGGAATAGGGAAACCCATAGCTAACTTCCAGAGGGAAAATTCCAGTGGAAACTCTAGGCGGGGTGTGGGGGGACAGACGGGGTAACTTAAGTCCGGGGCAGACTAGAGGACTTGGGAGGACTCAGAGGAGTGATCTGAAAGCTGAGGGCCGAGCTCTCATCTCCGCCCTAATTCTCCTTTCCTCCTGTCTCCAGACCCACTGTGCAGAGAACCTTCTCAAGGCTGACACTTACCGGAAATGGCGGGCAGCCAAGGCTGGTGAAAAGACCATCTCGGTGGTGCTGCAGGTGATCCTGCCCTCCCCTTTCCTCCTACTGACTGGGGGTATAGAATCCCAAGGTCCAGATTCTGCTGAGCCATCTGGCAGTGCCTTGAGTCTCCTTCCCTTTGGGGCCTCAGCTTCCTTCCCTGGGAGATGGGCAAGTGCAATCCCTGTTTCCCTCAGCAGAGAAGAAAAGGAGACACGAGCACTAGGCCAAGAGATGACCTTAGGAATCACTCTGTGGCCCTCAGCAGGTTGTTCCCACTTGCTTTGGCCTCAGTTTCCTCAGTTGTAACGGAATCATTGCCATGTACCTGCCTTCTAAAATCAGTGGGCTCAAGGTTGGAAGGTATCCAGGAAGGTCATTTAGCAAATCAACTTCATTTAAAAGAGGGTGAAACTGAAGCCTAAGGAAAGGAATTGAAGTGGCCAGTCTCAGCTACCATTTCTGGAATGCGGGCTGGTTTCATTCTGAGTGCTTTTTGTATATGCTTTCACTGAGTTCACAGCCACAGACCTGTGAATTTGGAGGGAGGCAGGCTGGAAAGGGTGGTTTGGCCTGAGATAGTTACAGAATTCCAAGTAGGCTGTTCCGTCAGGGATAAGACACTGGTGGGAGAAGAGAGCTAAGTAGGTTTGAAAAATCTGCCCTTTGTCAGGTGGTGCCCTGGTATGATTCATTCTCACCACTAATAAATGACTTCTAGGGTCATTCTCACCATTATTAAATGACAATGTTGAGACTCGATCACAACTGAGTAGTAGTGTTTTTAACCACTTTATCATATTACATGGTTTTCATAAACTGGCTTTTACCCACCCCCACCCTTTCTGGGGATTGAACCTAGGGTGTTGTACATGCTAAGTAGGTTCTGTACCACTGAACCACACCCCCCAGCTCCACACAGTGGCTTTCTTGATGCCAACCACATTCCTTAGTTCTGAATGGAGGAGTGTTTGGGAGGGCTGTTGGTAGGAACAAGGCTTATTTGTGAACATATTCTTTCTTTCTTTTTTTTTTTGGGGGGGGGGGTTCTGGGAATTGAACTCAAGGGAGCACTGAGCTATATCCCCAGCCTATTTTAGTTTTTGTTTTGAGACAGGGTCTCGTTAATTTGCTGAGATTGCCCTCAAACTTGTGATCCTCATGCCTTTGCCTCCCAAGTAGCTGGGATTATAGGTGTGTGCCGAGTACTGAACATATTCTTGGTCTCTCTTTTGCTCAGTGCCAAGTCAGAGAGCCTTTTGAGAGTAGAAGCTAAGGATTCTCTTCCCAGGAAAAATACACAGACCCACAATATTTTCTGACTTATTTTAGGTATTTAAGCATCTCTTAAATCTCTAACATAAAGATAATAATGAAAACTAGCATTATTCAGCGTTTTACAACCTGCCAGTCATCATTCTACACACCCCATGTGGTTGGTTTGTTTTTGCAGTACTGGGGAGTAAACCCAGGGGTGCTCTACCACTAACTATATCCACCCCCCAACCTTTTTTTTTGAAGAAGGGGTCTTGTTAAGTTGCCAAGGCTGGCCTCTAATTTAGGATCCTCTTGCCTCAATCTCCTGAGTAGCTGGAATTATAGGTGTATTCCACCATGCCCAGCCTCCCATGGTTTAATTCATTGAATCCTCATAAAAATCCCATGACCTAGGGTCTGTTTTTATTCCCATTTTATAGATGAGGAAACTGAGGGCCAGAGAAGTTATGTAATTTGCCTGAGAGCCAGTCTTTTAAACTGGGAGCTCGAGGTTGATGATGATTTTAGTTTGGGGACCTGGATTCAAATCCCAGCTTACTCACTCTGTGACCTCAGGCAAATTTTTTCATTTCTTTTAACCTGTTCTCATCTGTCCATTGGGCATAATGACATCCAAAACCAGGTGGTTGTGAAAATTTGGTGACATAATGTCTGCAGAAGTGCTCTGTCAACATGTAGGTGTTTGTACAAAGGGAGGGATCTGTGGTTTTATTATGGGGTGATGACTCTACTGGGCTTCCTTATGATCAGGTGACCATAGGAAAATGACATTCGGTTTTGTTCACACAACTGAAGTAGGAACAGAGAAATGGAGGCAGAAGAGACAAGTCATGGAGCACGAGGGAGCCAGAGGGCCAAGGCACAGGAATTATTGGCCTGGAAGAGGCTGGAGGAGTATTGCAGCTGTCGCTGAAATAGGAAACCCAGAGCGGGAGCAGATTGGGAAGGTGATGCATTTTGACTGGGATGTGCAATTTTGATATAATTTTGGGTATTAGGGATCAGATCTGAAGCTGGAACTAGAGGTATAGAAGTTGTCACTGTGGCTGGGTGCAGTGGCGCACGCCTGTAATCCTAGCAGCTTGGGAGGGTGAGGCAGGAAGATCTGGAGTTCAAAGCCAGCCTCAGCAACTTAGCAAGGCCCTAAGCAACTTAGCGAGACCCTGTCTCTAAATAAAAAATGAAAAGGGCTGGGATGTGGCTCAGTGGTGAAGCACCCCTGGGTTCAATCCCCAGGACCAAAAAAAAAAAAAAGTTGTCACCGTGAAGACTAGCTCGTGCACTCAGGGTAAGCAGATTTATTAGTTCTTTCATTTACTTATTTATTCTACAAGTATTTATTAAGTGTTTTCTGTAGASAAAGCACTATTTTAGCCCCTGGGACTGTATAGCAGTGATAAGCACTAGCCCCTCCCCCCCCMAAAAAAAATCAGTCCTGTGGCGCTGTTATACCAGTACAGAAAGATGGAAAATAAACCGATAAACAGAACCCACATCAGATAAGTGCAGTGAAAGGGATTTTTTTTTTTAAGAGAGAGAGAATTTTAAATATTTTTATTTTTTGGCGGACACAACATCTTTGTTTGTATGTGGTGCTGAGGATCGAACCTGGACCGCAAGCATTCCAGGCAAGCACGCTACCGCTTGAGCCACATCCCCAGCCCCCAGTGAAAGGGATTTAACAATTAAAGGGAATGGGGGTGCCCAGCAGGGGAGGGCTGGTAACCCCAAATTTTTTATTTACATGGGCAATGGTCAAGGAAGGCTCTCCCAAGAAGGTGACACTGTTGAAAAGTGAGCTGTGCACATATCTGGGGAGGAGCCAGAGACTCCCTTGGATACACTGGAGGAGCATAGGAGGCCCAGATGGCTGGAGTGGGGTTAGCCAGGGTGACGAAATAGGAGACGAGCTAGTGGGGTGAGGTCTACCCCCAAAACACTCAGCCTGGAAAATCATTGTAAGGACTTAAGGTTTTACTCTGGGTGAAATGGGAGCTGCTGGAGGCTCTGAGCAGAGGAGGGACAGGATCTGACTTAAGTCTTCACAGGATCCTTCTGATTCCGTGTTGAGACTAAGGGGCCAGGCAGAGCAGCAGGGAGACCAGCACCCAGCGCCACGTCAGTTGTTAACGTCTTTAATGGGGAAATCTGATTGCATCTGACAGTTGTCAAAATGCAGGGTAGCTCCAAATTCACCCTGTGCTAATTTTGGTTCTTTGGAAGTGAATGATAAGGCTGAAATTTTTGGACATTGAGGCAGTAGTCTTCTCTGTGGGTTTTCTACTACATTTCCAAACATCTTATGCAACATCTGGTATTGCTACAGGGTTCAGTCCCCTCTGCTTGTGACAGCCCCACACACTTTTTTTTTTTTTTTTTTTTGGTAGCAGCTATAAGAGGTTTGTCACCAATTGGTCACCTGCTCCCAAGGCAAGGAGTTCAACCTCTTTGCCTGCYACTCCTGGGGAGGAGACAGGGACTCCATTGGAGGAGCAGCTCTCCCTGCTCTGGAGGGCATGGCCAGCACATGATCCAGATGGAACCCCTGTGCGCCGCTGCAGGCGCTTTCTTTAGAAGCAGTRTTGAACAGCGTGGTGACACACATCTTGGTTTTGGTTTGGGATGGTTTCCTAATCACTCAGTTCATGCCTGTAGTGTTTTAAATTCATTTTTACCTTTTGTTTTGGTTTGTTTTAAATGTGTAACATACACATAACAAATTGCACTTGTAAGTGTAGAGTTCAATGAATCTTCAAACTGTAGCTTATATACTCAACAGCCAAGTCAAGTACAGAATCTGCCTGACCCTCAAAGTCCTTTTATGCTCCTTCCTGTCACTATCCCCCATAAAGGGTAACCAATGTCGTGGATTTTTTAAAAAAAACTTATTATTATAATTATTTTTAACATTTATTTTGTTTATTTATTTTTATGTGATGCTGAGGATCAAACTCAGTGCCTCATAAGTGCTAGGTGAGCGCTCTACCACTGAGCCACAACCCCAGCCCTATTATTATAATTGTTATTATTGGTACTAGAGATTGAACCCAGGAGCACTTTTCCACTGAGCTACAGTCCTTTTTTAGTTTTTATTTTGAGATAGGGTCTCAGCAAATTGCTACAGGTTTTGCTATCCCAGAACTTGCAGTCCTCCTGCCTCAGCCTCTGGAGTCACTGAGATTACAATTGTGCACCACTACTCCTGGCTGTCCTGATATTTAACAGCATGGATTAGTTGTGCCTGATTTGAGTTTTCCATAAGTGGAACTGTGCAGTACGTGTTTGGCCTCTTGTGCTCTACACAGTGAATGTCATCTGTGGTGTTGGGTGTACCTAGAGATGGTTCCTTTTCATTTCTATATAACATTCCATTCTGTGGACATAACCAGTATAGTTTTATTATCTTTACTTTTTGAAAAAATAATATCTCCCTGTCCCTCCAATATGTTTCCTCCTCCCTCCAGTCACTCCTGCTACCCAGGGCCTCACTGTTAGCAGTTCATTGTTTTCTGCCTGGCTTGTTCTGTACATATACAAGTGTATATAACTACCTTCTCCACTCCTTTTAAAAAAATATGTAGTGTAAAAAAAAATTGGGGCTGGGGGTGTAGCTCAGTGGTATAGTACATGCCTAAACCCAGTGTGAAGCTCTGGGTTTAATCCCCAGCAATGGAAAATAAAAAAGGAAATAAAAAATACACGGTATATGCGGGGTGCAGTGGCACACGCCTGTAATCCTAGCAGCTCAGGAAGCTGAGTTGGGAGGATGTGAGTTCAAAGCCAACCTCAGCAGTGGTGAGGCACTAAGCAACTCAGTGAGACTCTGTTTCTAAATAAAATACAAAATAGGGCTGCGGATGTGGCTCAGTGGTCAAGTGCCCCTGAGTTCAATCCCTGGTAACACACACACACACACACACACACACACACACACGCACACACACTGTATATAGACTGTTCTCCTTGCTTTCTTTTCTTTTTCTTTTTTAAAAAAAAAATTTATTTTTTAGTTGTAGTTGGACAAAATACCTTTATTTTATTTTTAAAAAATTTTTAATGTGGTGCTAAGGATAAAACCCAGAGCCTCACATGTGCTAAGTGAGTGCTCTACCACTGAGCCATGACCCCAGCCCCCTCTTTTTCTTCTTTTAATGAAGAACTGTATCATGCAATCCCACTGTCACTTTATATAAAGTACCCCTATTCTTTTAAATAGTGTTTAACATCACATTTCATGTATTTTTTTTTCACAATATGTCTCTCGGAAACTTCTGTATATCATTTGTTTCCCTCTCGTGCTTTGTGTCTTCCTGAGAAAAGAGCATTCTCACAGACCTGGGCTGCAAATGACGGTCACCCTGTGCTTGAACTTTCTTCTGACAGATGACCCTTCCTGAGAACTCCCTTCCTTTTTTGAGATAAACGTCACACAACATAAAATGCACCACTCTGACCACTTAAAATGTATCATCCAGTGGTTTTTAGTATATTGACAGAGTCTCCACGCTCTAACTCCGATTATTTTCATCATCCCCAAAAGAAACCACATAACCATTAAGCAGTCACTTCCCCAGGTTACCCTTGGCAACCACTGATCTACTTTCTATCTCTATGGATTTGCCTTTTTGGCATTTCGTATAAATGTACATGTGGTCTTTCATGTCTGCTTTCATTTACTTAGTGTAATGTTTTTGAAGTTCATCATATTATAGCATGCTAAGCATGTGCTCTACCACTGCGCCACACCCTCAGCTCATCTTTCTTTTTTTTTTTTCCCAGTACAATTTATTTTATTATTATTATTACATTTTAGTTTGCATTTATTAAGTATCTTAGATAAAAATATGGAACGCTTCACGAATTTGCGTGTCATCCTTGCGCAGGGGCCATGCTAATCTTCTCTGTATCGTTCCAATTTTAGTATATGTGCTGCGGAAGCGAGCACTCATCTTTCTTTTTAATTGAATAATATTCCATTAATACACTATATAGTGGAAAGGAAAGACAAAAAATAATAAATAAGAAAAATATGCTACACAATGTTGATCCATTCATTGGTTGATAACTGTTTGGGCCCCTTCCATGTACAACTGTTTTTACTTATGAGGAAGAGAATACCACCCTTGAGGTAGACTGTCCCCACTTTACGAGTTAGGAAGCAAGCAGCAGGGATGAAATGAAATCTTTTGCTCTAGGATCACACGGCAGTAAGCAAGTAGAACTGGGAAGGACCAGACCTTGTTTGTTTGTTTGTTTGTTTTTTAATATTGTTTTAGTTGTCAGTGAATTTTATATATATATATATAGTGCTGAGAATCGAACCCTGTGCTTCACACATGCCAGGCAAGTGCTCTGCCACTGAGCTACAACCCCAGCCCCAGACCATGTTCTTGACATTGGTACACAGCTCGGAACAACTCAGACATTGTCCTTGCTTTAATGGGGTTAAAAGTCTAGTGTGGGGCTGGGGTTATAGCTCAGTGGTACAGTGCTTGCCTCGCTCATGTGAGGCACTGGGTTGGATCCTCAGCACTGTATAAAATAAATAAATAAATAAAGTAAAGATGTTGTGTCCATCTTAAAAAAAAAAATCTTAAAACAATGTCTAGTGTGGGAAGTAGCTCAGTGGTGGATCACTTGCCTACCACGTGCAAGACCCTGGGTTCCACCCCCAGCACTACCAGCACTAGTGAGGGGGACAAATGTTAGCTAATATAAACCAAGAAAAAAATTGAAGTAGGGAATACCAAGTGGCTTAGGAATAGAAAGTGGTTCCTGGTAGGAGGTGAGGGAGAATCCTTTAGTCTGAAAAGGTGACATTTGAGCAGAGACCTAAAGGGTGGAAGGTACCAGCAATGCGAAGGAGTGGGGGAAGAGTGGCCTGGGGGAAGGGGGGAGGGACATGTGCAAGGACCCTGAGGAGGGAAGGAGCCAGCGTTTCCTGGACAGGAAGCAGCCCATGTAGCTGGAGGAGGTGACCTGGCTTGCAGGAGGCCAGCAGGGCTGAGCCTTGGGAAGGCCCTGCCCTTGGTGCCTCTTCCTCCGCCCGGTAGTGCTGTGGTGCAGGAGTGCACGCACTCAGTAGCCAGCCTGCCTGGGTTCCCTGGGGCTTTGCCCGCACCAGCTGTGACTTACGTAAGTGCTTCCTGTCTGTGGCTCCTCAGTTGGAGATAATTATAGCACCTRCCTGGCAGAGCGCAGTGAGGCGAGTAGCAGCTTGGTTGTTCTTGCCCATCTGGCACCTTGCGAGCACTCAGGTGCTGGCGGCTTTTATTGCAGTTTTTGCCTGGGCATCTCCTCTCCCTTCAGGAGAAGGATTGCTAGGCTGACCCTTCCCGTTTGCCTGTGAGGAAACTGCTTTTCAGAGATGTCGGATTCAGATTGGGAATGACAGGGCTAGGTTTGGAACCCAGGTCTGCCTCACCCCAAGTTCAGGCTCCTTCCTCCCATAAAGCCATGTTCTTTTTTGTCRCATCAGGCAAACAAAGTCTTGGTGACTTCCTGACTGGAAGGTGAGAGAGGAGATGGTAGCAGCAGATAGTCCCTGGGGGACAGGGCAGGGCAGCAGAGAATGGTGGACTAGGGATCTTTGAAGACATAATAACTCAATATTCTGGGGTCCTAGTGAAAGAGCCCCCAGCCGGAAGGCAGGAGGTTTGCATCAGTATTTCCTGACTGCTCCCACCTCTGCACGGCTCTGTGCAGCTCCAGCTGTCAGGAAGGAATAGCAGATCCCCAGGGAGTTCTTATTATAGATAGGCCTTCCTTTCTTTTAACAAATAACTATCCAGCATCAATTACTAATGCTTCCTAACTGACAGTGGTTGAGCACCTACTACGTGCCATGCCCTGTGACCATGTTATTTATGTGCATGGTCTTCAGTGTGATCAGCCCTGTGTTATAGATGAGGAAACTAAGGCTCCAGGAGGTTAGCCAGCAAGGTGACACAGCTAGTGTGTGGCAGATCTGGGATTCAAACTGAGGAATCAGAAATGAGCAAAACTGGACAAGCCTCCATCCATCCATCCGTCTCTTCTGGGAGCTTCTGTGGAGTCTGTGAGATGAGTTCAATGGAGTTATAAATGTGGCATGTGGAGTCTGAAGAGACCAAGAGGTATTTGCTTAGTATTCACCTGGGTCATGCCATGCTCTATCCAACCCGCAGGAACACAGTGGCACTGCTCCCCACTGACAGCCCTGGTCCCCATTGACACATAGATGACATTGCAGGGGACATGGCAGCCCAAATGGGGGTGATCTCTTTTTCAGTCTCTGGCCCCACAGCAGGCCCAAAGATACAGCAGACATTGATGGTGGCCTTTCTCCCTGCCCACAGTTGGAGAAGGAGGAGCAGATACACAGCGTGGACATCGGGAATGATGGCTCAGCCTTTGTGGAGGTGCTGGTGGGCAGCTCGGCTGGAGGGGCCGGCGAGCAAGACTATGAGGTAAGCGGGCCTGGGAGATGCTGACCTCTGCCTGTCCCTGTAGGGCCTCCGGCGTTCCTTGCAAGGGTGAAGTCATATCCTTTAGCTGCCTTCTGGAGGGTTGCCAGGTGTGCAGAGAAGACAAAGAGCAGACATGGGTGGTGAAGGGCCATCAGGGAAGAGCCAGTTGCTTATGTCATGTTACATAAAAAACAGAGACTCTTGCTGGGTTCTGGAGTTTAGTTGCTGCTTGAGAGCAAAGCTGCTCTTCTCTTGTCAGGTCCCCAGCGTCCTCCCAGATTTCCTGGCATTTGAGATTCTGCGTCATTTGGGACGCCTCTGTTAGGCATTTCATTTGCAACAAATGTTTACAAGAAGGAATGCCTTTCGCTCTATTACAGATATCTTATTTTTTAATGTTTTAAAGATGTGGTCTTGCTGTGTTGCCCAGTCCGTCGCTGAACTCCTGGGCTCAAGCCATCCCTCTCAGCCTCTCGGGTAGCTGGAACTAAGGTGCTGCCACTGCACCTGGCTTACACGGTCCCTTTTTGCTGGTTGAGTTATTAGAACTGGATTTGTAAGGTGCTAGTTATTCAGCTTGTTAATCAGGGGTGGGTAGAAATAAACCTACTGTTCACAAAGTCTGAGTGAACAAACCAGTTTTCTACAAGATAACATTTGTTATAGGAAAAAAGTTTTTAATTGAGGTATATTTTGTATACAATGAAATGCATAGACCTGCACGTGCGGGGAAAAAGTTTTGATATATGTATACCCAGTGTAAAAGTCCCCCAGGCATTTCTAGGACTCCTTACAGTTCCCTGTGTCCCCTGCAGTCCACTCTTCTGACTCCAGTTTAAGACAAGCTCTGAGTTATTTTCTGTCACTATAGATAGGTTTTCCTGACCACTAATTTCATGTCGGTGGACTCTTGCAGAGTGTATCTTTTTGGTGACTGGTTCTTTCACATTATATACTCTTTTTTGGTATTCTTCCACATTGTGCAGATGCCAGTGGTTTGTTCCATTTTGTTGCTGAATAGCATTCTATTATAGGAATATTCCATGGTTTGTTTATCTGCTCTTGTGTTCGTAGGCATCTGGGCTATTTCCAGTTTTGATTTTGTTTTCTTTTTGTGGTACTGGGGATGGAACCCAGGGCCTCCTGCATGGTAGGCAAATGCTCTACTACCGAGCTACACCCCCAAAGCTCTCAGTTTTTCACTATTAGGAATAAATCTTCTATGAACATTCTGTAGAAGTGTCCGTATGGAGATAAGTTGTCATTTATTTTGGATAATACCTACAAGTTGAGTTGTGGAGTCTTAAGAGTAAATATATTTTAACCTTATTAGATATTGACAGGTTTCCAAAGTGGTTGCACCATTTTCTGTTCCCTTTAGAAGTGTTTGAAAGTTCTAGTTGCCCTGCATCTTTGCCTATTGTTAATTGGTATTGGCAGTATTTTTATTTTTATTTTTAAGCATTCAAATGATGCTTAGTGGTTTTGATTTACACTTTCCTGAAAAGTAAAAACTTTATATACATTTCATGTACTTTGTTATGAAGTGTCTACTCAAGTCTTTGGCTTGTTCTTTATTTTGTCTTTTTATCTGTGATTTGTCTTTTCAATATCTTAACAATGCACGTGTGTGGGGGCAATGGCTCTAGGGAATCCAGAACCGTGCACCTGCAGGCATTCTGCCACTGAACTACATTATTAGTGCCTTCTGCTGAGCAGAAGCTGAGGAAGTCCAGCCTCTCAAGGGTTATTTTTATTATTTTAAATGCTTAGTGTCTTTTGTGTCCTATAGGAAATAATTGTATGCCCAGAGTAATAATGGTCTCTGTGTGAGTTTCCTGGCACTACTGTAACAATCACTGCAAACTCAATGGCTTCAAATAACACAAATTTATTATCTTACAATTGTGGACATCAGAAGGCTAGAATCCGTCTCACTGGGCGAAAATCAAGTATCGGCAGGACTGCGTTCTTTTGTGAGGCTCCAGGGGAGAATTCATCTTCTTTTCTCTTCCAGCTTCTAGGGGCCACCTGCTGGCCTCTTCCATCTAAACTAACACTCCTATTACTGTAACATCTGCTTCCATCATCATTTCTGCCTGACTCCGGCTTTCTTGCCTCTTTCTTATAAAAAGACCCTTGTGATGAGCTGGGCATGCTGATATCTGTATTTTCAGCTTCTGGGAGACTGAGGTGGGAGGATCCCTTGAGCCCAGGGGTTCAAGACCAGCCTGGACAACATAGCAAGACTTCATCTCTGAGAAGAAAAGAGAAGAGAAACCTTCATGATGACATTGGACCCATTGGATAATCCTGGGCAATCTCCCTCATAAAATCTTCAACTTGCTGAGGCTGGCTTTGAACTCGCAATCCTTCTGCCTCAGCTCCTGAGCTGCTGGGATTACACCACACTGTCTTAATAGAAAAAGTAAATGATGAAATCAAGTTGTGTTGGATTTCTAATGCTAGCCTCCTTCAAGATTCTTTTGGGCTATTTAAGATCTTTGCATTTATTTCCATATAAAGTATAAAAAGCTTGTCAGTTACTTTGTTGATTGATTTCAGACTTACAGGAAAGTTGCAAAAGTAGTGCAAAGAATTTTCATATACTCTTCACTTAGAGTCCCCAAAGTTGTTTTTATTTGTTTTTTGTGGTGCTGGGGATTGAATCCAGGGCCTTGTGTACTCGGGGCAAGCACCCTACCAACTGAGCTATATCCCTAGCATTAGAGACCCCAAAGTTAAAACGTGCATATTTTTTCCTGAAGTGAGTATCATAAATTGTATGATGCTCCTTAATTCCTGCATATTTCAGTGAGTTTTTCCTAAAAACAAAGACTTTTTCTTTTCTCTCCCTCCTTCCTTCCTTCCTTCCTTCCTTCCTTCCTTCCTTCCTTCCTTCCTTCCTTCCTTCCACTGGGAATTGAACCCAGGGGTGCTGAGCTATATCCCCAGCCCTTTTTATTTTGAGTCAAGATCTCACTAAGTTGCCCAGGCTAGCTTTGAACTTGCAATCCTCCTGCCTCAGCCTCCTGAGTAGCTTAGATTATAGGTGTGGATCTCATGCCGGCTTCCTTTCCACTCTTTCTTTTTCCCACACTGCCATGATGACTGACTAGTACCTCTAGTGCAGTGTTAAATGGAAGTGGTGAAGTGAACACCCTTGCCTTGTTCCTGATATTAAGGGGGAAGCATTGAGTCTTTCACCATTAAATATGACTGTAGGTTTGTTTGTTTGTTTGGTACCGGGAATTTAACCCAAGGGCTCTTAACCACTGAGCCACATCCACAGCCTCTTTTATGTTTTATTTGGAGACAGGGGCTCACTGATTACTCAGGGCCTTACTAAGTTGCTGAGGCTGGTTTTATTGGTTTTATATATATATATATATATATATATGTATTTTTTTTTTTTTTAGATGTCAGTCTGAGGAAGTTTTTTCTGTTCCAGTTGAGAGCTTTTTGTTAAATCACAAAAGCATGTTCAATTTTATCAACGTTTTCTGTTGTACAGGGAATTTTTTTCTTTCTCAGTACTGGGAATTGACATAGTTCTATCCATGAGTTACATCCCTAGCCCTTTTTATTTTTTATTTTGAGACAGGGTCTTCCTAAGTTGCTGAGGCTGACCTTGGACTTTCATTCTCCTGCCTCAGTTGTTGGGATTATGGTTCCTGGCTACAAGGAACATTTTACCAAATGAAGTTTCTTATAATAAATATTTTTATTCTCAAGGTGAGATAAGTCAGCAGTCTTTGGAACTATTGTGAAAAAGTTCTCCTCTTGGCAGATCAGTGTTATTCTTTATAATGATAAAAACAGAATAAGTGCATTAAAAATTGTATTTGTAGTTGTAGATGGACAACATGCCTTTGTTTTTATTTGCTTATTTTTTGTATGTGGTGCTGAGGATAGAACTCAGTGCCTCACACATGCTAAGCAAGTGCTCTACCACTGAGCTACAACCCCAGCCCCAGAATAAGTGCATTTTAAGCTAAGATTATCATATCTGGTGTGTGAATGTTTATTTTGCTTTGCTTGCCTTTCTAGAAAGGAGGACTGGATAGCTCAGAGTTTTGTCTTCCCAAGGTCCAAAAACACCTATGCTGACAGTTTTATTCTTTCAAGGTGTGTGTGTGGTTTTTTTTGTTTTTTTTTTTTTTTTGTACTGGGTATTGAACTCTGGGGTGCTTAACCACTGAGCCACATCCCCTGCCCCCCCCCTTTTTAATATATTTTATTTAGAGACAGGGTCTTGCTGAGTTGCTTAGGGCCTTGAGAAATTGCTTAGGCTGGCGGTGATCCTCCTGCCTCAGCCTCCCTAGCCACTGGAATATTTTACCAAACATTTTACTGGTATTACAGGTGTGCATTGGTGGCACCTGGCCTTTCAAGGTTTTTTGTTTGCTTGTTTGTTTTTTAGATACCCAGGATTAAACTCAGGGACACTCTACCACTGAGCCACATCCCCAGTCTTATGTTGTATTTTATTTAGTTGAGTTGTATTTATTTAGTTGCTTAGTGCCTCACTTTTGCTGGGGCTGGCTTTGAACTCTCGATCCTCCTTCTTCAGCCTCCTGAGCCACTGGAATTACAGGATTGCGTCACCAAGCCTGGCCTTTCAAGGTTTCTAGTTAAATTTCTGCTCTGGTTCTGTTCTGTTACAACTTCTAGCCACAAMTGAATTGAGGTCTCCGGGTCTTAGTGCTTGGTTTCCACTGAGAAATTAGATATAGCTGGAAGAACCAAGAAAGAAAAGGTAAAAGGGTGGAGCAGGTGTGGTCAAGGTTAACATCACCTACAAATCAAGCATGAGGCACATTATAGCAATAACCAATGTCATTTTCTACAAAGCCAACATGTTCTTTCTTCACCATCTAAACTGTACAAAGGAGTTCTGGGGTTAGTACGGACTAGAGGTAAAAGGTTTAATTTTGGAAGCTTAAAGGCAGCATTGGATGGTGCAAGTCTGACAACCAGAGTGGGTATCTCTTTACGTCAAATGGGAGGAGATACGCAGAGGAAATCTGTCTCTTAGTGTGGACAGTAGTTGCTGCTACAGTCTGCATTATCCTTTTATTCCAGTCATCAGGTGAGAAATTCAGCTTCCCTGTCCTCAGAATCAGGCCTTTAAAAAAAAAAAATTAAGTGTTTGGTACTAGGGGTTGAACCCAGGAGCATCCACTGAACTACATCCCCAGCCCTTTTGTGTGTATGTGTGTGTGTGTGTGTGTGTGTGTGTGTGTCTGTGTGTGTCTGTGTGTGTCTGTGTGTGTCTGTGTGTGTGTGAGACAAAGTCTTGCTAAGTTGCTTAGGTCCTCAGTGAATTGCTGATGCTGGCCTCGAACTTGCAATCCTTCCATGTCAGCTGCTAGAATTGCGGAGATTACAAGCATGGACCACCACACCCAGCTGAGAATAGGCCTTTTATAAGCAAATATAGTCAAGGCCAGGGTGATAGCTTCCCTTCTTATGATTTCTTTGTCTTTGTTGTTTTCTTTTCACAAACAGAGCTGGCCACAAAGAGACATGTAGTTATATTCTGCATTTTTCTCAGCAAAAGGCCTTTATTTTCTAATTTTATAAATTTCACAGTATGTCATTTAGAAAAGAGCCTAAGTAACAGAGTACACCTAGTCAAAAGTTTCTTATTGGATCCGGAAATATAATTTGTTCTTTCCTAAGGAAGGAAAAAGGAAGGACCCCTTTTCCTTGGGGGTCTAGCATTAGGCAGGCCCAGAGWTGATCTGGCAGCGTAACGAAGTTAGAGTGTTTCATTGGCATCTCTTTGATTCTTTTGGATTTGGCCTCATGGTCACAAGATGATAGTTGCTGCTCCATCTATCACTTGGTAACATCCAAAGCAAGAAGTGGGAGGGGAGGCGGATGGCAGAAATGCAGTAGCCCTCTTCTTTCCTCTGTTTCTCTTTATTGAACAAAGAAAATCTTTCCTGGAAGCCCCAAGCAGCCTTCCTCTTCTCTCTGACTGGATAGAACTGGATCACAGTCCAACCACTGGCAGAGGGATGGGGTTGTTTGAATCAATCATGATTTATTCTGTTATGTTGGGTACACACCTTCTTCTCTTTCAAAACGTCTTGGTCAGGTCTGATTGTCTTTTGTTCCTTTGTCATACTATCAGTAACTCCATTATTTCTTTAAATGATTAAATAGAGTTATTTTTATGTTGTATGTTTTATAATTTGAATGTTTGGTTTCTGCTGACCCTAAGTCAAGGGCAGCTGCATCCCAGAGGTGCATGCATRTGTGTGTGTGTGTGTGTGTGTGTGTGTGTGTGTGTGTGTTTAATGATTGACTTCTGTTCTTTGGGCATATATCTGTGGGAATCCTCTCATGGCATGCTTTGAAGTTCAGTGCTCCAAAGACGAGTTCCCCTGGGTCAGGCGGTAATTCATCTGGTGCTGAGGATCGAACCCAGTGCCCCACAAATGCAAGGCAAACGCTCTACCACTGAGCTACAGCCCCAGCCTGGCAGTATAATTTTTAACTGCAAATGTTTGAGAGTAAGATTTGTGACTGGGAGTTCTTTTCCAGAGAGAATTTTTCTCCTTTTCTCAGTGAAGGCCAAGATAGTTCTCCTAGACTGTTTCCACAGGCACAATTTCCCCTAATTTACCGACTGAGAATGTTACCCTTTGAGGAGCCCAGCTCTCTGTGATGTGGCAGTGATCTCTGAGGTGCCATCTTCTTTGCTTGGGGGCCAGGCTCTGTCTCGTCTTCTCTACCAAACCACACAGGGCCCTTTATTTATATCTTTGATTTTCAGTACAGGCACAGGTTCATTTAGAAAACCAAGGATTACACATTCAAGCTTTTTTACTGCTGTGACCAAAAGACCTGACAAGAATATCAAGGAGAAAAGGATTATTTGCTGCTCATGGTTTTAGAAGCTGCAGTTTATAGACGGGTGACAGCATTGCTCTGGGCCCAAGGTGAGGCAGAACATCATGGCAGAAGGGAATGGTGGAGGAAAGCAGCTCAGGACTTGGCCACAGGAAGCAGAGACCAGGGCCCTTTAAAATCAAGTTCTGTGCCAACTGGCATTAGCATCAGGATAGACCAGAAGAATCAGTGCTGCTATTGCGGGCATGCCCCCACCAGGAGACCACACCAGTTGCTTTAGCAAAGGGAACATAATGTGAAGAATTAGTAGCTAGGTTTCCTTCCAGCCTGAGGTCTAATGACAAAGCAACAGCAGAGAGCAGCTTCTARGATTGCAGGAACTGCAATGAAATGTACATGGTTAGAAACCAAAGGTGGGGTTGCTAAATGTGGGGAGGCCTAAACTCAGACCCCAAGGAGGAGTTCTCCCATCCACTGCCTCTGGTGTCCCTGAGAGAGGCAGGATGAGGMTGGCTCCACAGATGTCAGGAAGCTGTAACCTGGATTAATCTGGGGTGTAGGATAGATCCTCAGTAGCTGTGTCCTGGGTGTGCTCCTAGAGTCTGCAAATGGACAAGAAGGAGCAGAGCCCTCTCCTCATACCTTGCAGCCCAGTGTCTTGTCTTGTCTCTAGCTCCCCCTATTGGCAGGGCCTGGTAAGGTGTAGTGGGCAACAGAAATGTCCTTCACCAAGGGCAGCCCACATCATAGTGCCAAGGGTGAGGTGGGTGTGAGTGGAGAAGCAGTCACTTAATAATTGACGCTGTTCCCTGCATTTTTGGATTCTGCTTTATCATTTCTGGCCTCCTGTAATTCTCTTAGCCTTTCCACTGACTCAGCCATGCATTTCCAAAGGCATTTGAATATTGTGCCSGTCACTATGAATACTCTCTGCTGGGAGAGTTCCTTAGACATGTAGCCTGCCATATTGTCTGATGTTAAAACTCCATGGAAGAGTTCAGAGAAGGATCATTCAGATCCAGAGGTTAGAAAGAGTCCTTTGGACTACCATATGATCCAGCARTCCCACTCCTGGGTGAATACCCACAAGAAATAAAAATCAGTATGTTAAGATATTTCTGCATAATATAAACATATCCCTATGTTTATTGCAGCATGAYTCACAATAGCCAAGATATGGAATCAATTGCAGAATCCAGCAGTGGACGAAGAGATACAGGAAACWTTGCTTATATACACAACGGAATATTATTCCACCATAAAAAGAATGAAATTCTAGCTGGGCATGGTGGTGTATGTGGCTCAGGAGGCTGAGGCAGGAGGATCGTGAGTTCAAAGCCAGACTCAGCAAAAGTGAGGCACTAAGTAACTCAGTGGGACCTTGTCTCTAAATAAAATACAAAATAGGGCTGGGGATGTGGCTCAGTGGCTGAGTGCCCTGAGTTCAAGCCCCAGACCAAAAAAAAAAAAAAAAAAAAGAAAGAAAGAAAGAATGAAATTCTGTCATTTGTAGCAACATGGATGGTACTGCAAGAAATCATGTTAAGTTAATAAGCCAAGTACTGAAAGACAAACACCACATGTTCTCACTTAAGGAGGGAAGCTTAACAGTTGATCTCAAATAGRAAATAGAGAATAGAAGAGTGGTTCCTAGATCCTGGGAAGGGTGTGTGAGAGGAGGGTTGGAGAGAGAATGGCTGATGGGTGCAGGGTTACAGTTGGATAGGAAGAATGACTTCTCCATAGCACAGAATAATCACAGTTGGCAAGAATTAATTGTACATTTCAAAATAGCTAGTAGAGAGAATTTTGAATGTTCCCAATGCAAAGAAATGTGCCAGTTACCCTGATGTGATCATTRCACACTGTTTACATGTATTGAATGTCACACTGTACCCCATAAATCTGTGCGATTGATATGTATCAATTTAAAAACATGCATATATATATCTGTATTGTGGGTTGGGGATAGAAGTTGGTGGTGCGGTGTAGGTCAGTGGTAGAGTGCTTGCCMTAGTGTGCATAAGGCTCCRTATTTGATCACCAMAAATAAATTTTTAAAATATATATAAAGATAGTCGGGGCTGGGATTGTGGCTCAGTGGTAGAACGCTTGCCTAGCACATGCGATCCTCAGCACCACATAAAAAATAAGTAAGTAAGTAAATAAATAAATAAAGATATTATGTCCAACTACAACTAAAAAATAAATAGATAGATAGGTATTTTAAAAATACCTTGGAAACCTGTGTCAAGTCAATACTTACTGGGTCTGGAAGTGTCCAGGCTCAAGCTAGAGTCTAATCGTCCCCTACCGCATACCCTTGGGTCCCTTGTCCTCTTGCCTAGCCCCTAGGAGGTGTCATCTAAAGCAGCCAGCCCTGGTTCTCATTCACCATGCCTTCTTCTCTCAGGTCCTTCTGGTAACCTCATCCTTCATGTCCCCTTCTGAGAGCCGCAGTGGCGCAAACCCCAACCGTGTTCGCATTTTTGGGCCTGACAAGTTGGTCCGGGCTGCCGCTGAGAAGCGCTGGGACCGGGTCAAGATTGTGTGCAGCCAGCCCTACAGCAAGGTACCTCACTGAAGGCGCAGAGCCCTTGGTTCTGGGTGAGGAGGGAACTGAGGGGCCAATCCTGAGTCCCAGAGGGCTGAGAGGAATGGACAGCTCTATCCCCATGGGGTTGTTGGCAAAGCTGGATCCCTGCATTCCTGGAAATGGGTTTGGGATCCTCCCCGTGCTGAGAAGCTTATTTCCCTGGAGTCTAGCAAAGGTGAACTGTGGCACATCCGAAAGGAATTGGAGGAGGGGCAACTGACTCATCAGCAGGGACTAGAGTTAACCTCATGGGACTGTAGTCTGACCATTGGGTCAAAACATGCCTATGTCACTTTTTAGCTATGTGAACCTGGGCAGGTGACTTAGCATCTCTGGGCCTCTATTTCCTAATATTTATATGGGAGTCTCAGCTGTGGTGACAGTGAGACCCAAATATGTAATAGCACAGCACAATAAAGATGTACTTCTTGCCATTCAGCTGTCCTGGGAGGTATTTAGCTGGTCAGCTGCCTCCTCTCCATGAGGTCATTTGGGGATCCGACTCCTCCTACTTTGTGGCTCTGCAGCCAGCTGGCAGAGCAGGAGAGAACTGGGAGTATTTCTGTGTTCAGGAAGTAGTACACAGCATTCCTCCCATTCCTAGTAGGAATTTGAGCACGTGGAAGTAAATTCGCTTGGCTGCCCAGCAGTCTTCGCCAGTTGCTGTGAGGGCTAAAGGAGCTAATGCATGTCAAGGGCACAGAGCTGACCTGACCCTGAGTCAGGGCCCAGCACAGTTCTGTATCATCATCCTCATCCATAGGGCACCTCCTTAGACATTGTGTCCTTACGAGAGAAAGAGCAGGGCTGGGGGTGTGGCTCAGTGGTAGAGCACTTGCCTAGCACACGTGAGGCACTAGGTTTGATCCTTAGCGCCACATAAAAATAAAATAAAGGTATTGTCCACCTACAACTAAAATATATATACATATAAAAAAAGAGAAAGAGCCAGAAAGGGACTTTTCTAAGTGAAAGGGTCTTCGGGCCAGGTTCTGTCCTTGGCCCATACACCCTGACTTTCACTCCTGCTTTCCCAGGACTCCCCCTATGGCCTGAGTTTTATTCGGCTTCATAGTCCCCCAGATAAAGACCAGGCAGAGGCCCCATCCCAGGTAAGCTCCACCTGCCACCCCTTTCCTCTTCACCCCTACCTGCCAGCCATCCTTCCACTGCACTGACTTGTGGGACCTTAGAAGGTGACCGTGACCAAGCTTGGCCAGTTCCGTGTGAAGGAGGAGGATGACAGTGCCAGTTCCCTGAGGCCAGGGGCTCTCTTCTTCAGCCGGATCAACAAGACATCCCCGGGTGAGTGTGGGAACCTGGGTGCTAAGTTAATGGAGGGTTGGGACCTGGACTCATAGGTCTGAGAGGAGGTGGCTGGACCCCTAGGGCTAAGGGAGGAGAGCTTGGGCCCAGACCCCTAGATTACTGCTGCGTTTTAGGACTGACACTGTATGTCCCATGGATAGGAGCGAAAGGGTCTCAGGCCCAGCCCTWTCATCCTGCTTCTGCTTTCTCCTTCTGTAGCCACAACTAGTGACCCAGCAGGGCCCAGCTACGCAGCAGCTACCCTCCAAGCCTCTAGTGCGGCCTCCTCAGCCTCCCCAGTTTCCAGGCCTGTCAGCAGCACCTCTAAGGTGAGATCACGAGACTTCGGTGGGATGGAGAAGGAAAGAAGCTGGAAGCCTCAGCCCATTCTTACCCCCACAGCCTCAGGAGTCTCCCAAAGGGAAGAGGAAGTTGGATTTGAATCTAGAAGAAAGGAAGATCCCCAACAAACCATCAGCCCAGCCCTCACCACCTGCCCTCAAGAGGCCCAAATGTGAGCTAACTAGATCCCTGATTTCCACAGGGCCTGGACTCCAGGGTCTGACAGGGAGGACTGAGGCGTGAATTCCTGGGCCTGGGGGAGGGGCTGGACGTTTAGCCCCAGTGGTATTAACTGACTCTTTACCCTTTTGCTTCCCAGTACCAGCTCCTACCCGCACCCCATCCACGGCCCCCGTTCCTGCCGCAGCTCAGGGGGCAGTGCCAGGGAAGCCCCGGGGAGAAGGCACCAAGGCCAGGGGAGCCCGAGCTGGCCCGCAGGAGCTGGGGAAGATCCTTCAGGGTGTGGTGGTGGTTCTGAGTGGCTTCCAGAACCCCTTCCGCTCAGAGCTCCGGGACAAGGCTCTGGAGCTGGGTGCCAAGTATCGTCCAGACTGGACCCCAGACAGCACTCACCTCATGTAGGCCGCCTTCCTGCCCTGCCCTGTCCTCCATTGCTTCTCTTTCTACCTCCCCGCCACCCGCTGCTTGTCTGTCTCCCTGGCTCACCTGCCTCTGCCTCTTTTTCTCCTCTTATTTCTACATCTATCTTATCTCCCATCCCTTCCGTCTCCAGTGTCACTTGCTCTCTTTACTTCCTCTCCCCCTCTCTGTCACTCCTCTGTTTTTCCCCTTTGCCCTCAGATCACGCCTAACCAAACCCCTCAATTCTGCCCCCACCAGCTGTGCCTTTGCCAACACCCCCAAGTACAGTCAGGTCTTGGGCCTCGGAGGTCGCATTGTGTGTAAAGAATGGGTGCTGGATTGTCACCGCATGCGTCGGCGGCTGCCCTCCCGAAGGTGAGGCCTCACTGCACACATGCAGCCCACACGCACCCAGCCTGCCCCTCGTCCCCATGCTGACCAAGAGCTCAGGTGGTTCCAGCCCAGAGTCAGCCAGCTTCAGAGAGGAGGGACAGAGCTGGAAGGGACTCTTCTGGGAGGGTCCCAGAGGGCTCTGGGAGTCTGCCTAGTGGAAAGGAAAAGGACATTGCAAGCTGCAGGAACTGCGCATACAGAGGCGTTGGGTGGGAGGACAGCACTGGGGCCTGGTGGTTTGTCACTCACAGCAGGTCCTGAAGCCTCTGCTTGGTTGGTGCCATGCTGGGCCATACAGTGCTGCGACCTAACTTTGAGCCTTGCTCTGAAGACATCTCACTTTGATGAGGTTCAGACTTGTTAAAACCTAGTATGGGGGAAGGCCCCGGGAAACCCACAACAAGCCAGGAAGAGGGGGGCGTCTTCTGGGACAAGAAAAGGTCTGCCTCTGAGCACAGGCAGAGGACTTGCTGAGCAGCGGGGGGCTACCTGGAGCATCCGCTGAGCTTGCAGCAGAAGGTGCAAATGGCAGAGAAACGAGGCTGCGGGAAGTGGGAGCCTGGGAAGACTTTGGAGCTGGAGAAGAGTAGGACCATATCTGAGGCCTGTGGGTAGAAGGGGAGACTTGAGTTGTGCTGCAGGCCTGAGTGTGTTCGGAAGTAGGTCTGTACTCTGTGCTATGCTTCTGTTTTTAAGGGATACTGTCTGGGGTCGGGAAATGAAACTGGAAAGGCGGGTGGGGTTAGTTCAGCTTGGCTGAGGTGCTGGGCTCTGTCCAGCTCCACAGACCTTTTGTACCTTGTTCTGGACTCTAAACGTGTCTGAGAGCCTTGAGTTCTTTTCTGGCTTTGGCACAAATTCCCTTGGCTGCACAAGCATCCTGAGCCATGTGAGTGTATGTGTGTCCTGATGTCTGTCATGTTTACTACAGTCATATCAATGGCTTTGACTAGAGGGTGCTCCATAACTGAGGATGTTGTGTGACAGTCTGTATACCTGCCAGTTGCCTCTCTGAAAACCAGAACTCAAAATTCTAAAACTCATGTCGTCTCAAGCATCTCCTCTATGAACAGAGGGGAGCCACAGAAGGTTTGAGGCGGACAGGGGCAGGCTCTGTAAGGGATGTGGTGTCCGGGGGAAACTGCAGATGGGGACCCAAAGAGACTGGGGCCTTAGAGATGGAAAGAAGGTGGAAGCAAGTGGATTTAGGATACGTTTGGGGCAGAAGAAACCAGATTGGGATCACTGTCTGGGAGACTCCAAGGTGGACACGGAGGAAAATGGAACAAGATAAACACTGTCGGATTTATGACCGGGTTTTAACCAAAAAAAATTCAGAAAACATGTTGTATTTTAAAAACTTAAGGATAGAAGAGTCCAGGGCATGGACACAATATCTTTATTTTATTTACTTATTTTTATGTGGTGCTGAGGATCGAACCCGGGGCCTCGCGCATGCTAGGCGAGCGCTCTACCACCGAGCCACAGCCACAGCCCACAAACTGAGGTTTTTAAAAAACATTTTTGGGGTAGAGCACATGCTTAGCATGCATGCACTCCAGGTTTTATTCCCTAGCACTGCAAAAAATAATCCTGGATGCTGTTTCTCCAGCCTTGAGACAGCCAAGTCATACATGAAGGGTCTTAATGAAGCAGTATTCGCTTCTGCTTACACGCTCTGCCCTGTAATTTGGGAGCAAACTAAATATCTCTCTGTGCCTTAGTTTCTTCACTTATAAAATGGTGCTAAAAATAGCCCCTACATCAGGATTCAGTGAGTCAGTATTTGCCAAGACTTGGAACAGTTCCTGGTGCACATGAAGTCCCACATAGGCCTTAGCTGTGACTGCTGTTATTACAGCTGGGAGGTTCCTTTCCTGAGGCAGCCACTGCATGCAGAACCATGCGGAGCATCAGGGTCTTCAATATACACAGGGACCCTGGTGTCATCAGGGGCTGGGGGCTGAGTTTCAGGACACTCATACACACACTGGGGGATCTGTGCATACTCAAGTCCCATATATAAAACTGTAGGCAAGGCATGGTGGTACACACCTATAATCTTARCTACTCAGGAGGCTAAGGAAGGAGGATCCCAAGCTCAAGGCCAGCCTAGGCAATAAAATAAAATAAAACTGCAGTATTTGCATACTATACATATCCTGCTGTATATTTTAAATCATCTCTAGATCTCTTATAATACTTATAATACCTAATACTATGTAAGTGCTGTGTAAATACTTGCTATACTGTGTTGTTTAGGGAATAATGACAAAAATATGTACATGTTCAGCCAGGCACTATGACCATGCATCCCAGCAACTCTGGAAGCAGAGGCAAGAAGATCAAAGTTCAAGGTCAGCCTCAGCAGCTGAGCTAGACCCTGTCTCAAAATAAAAAATAAATTTTTTTTTAAGGGTTGGGCATGTGGCTTAGTAGTAGAGCATCCCTGGTTTCAATCCCTGGTAAAACACACACGTACACACACACACACACACACACAGAGATACATTTATGTTCACTACAGATAGAGCTTCCCCCCCCCCAGATATTTTCCATTCACAGTTATTTGGATCTACAAAGGGCCAACTGTATTTGCTTTTGAGAATTTTCCCTTAATTGGTGGCATTTTCCTAGTGAGAAATTTATTTTGACTCTCAGAGGGGAAGCCTTGTTCGTATTTTTCTTTCCTCTCTGAAATGAGACATGTCTTCCCCCAAGGAGGAGGTGAGGAGAGTGTGCTGGACTGATGGCCCCGGGGTCCTTCTCCAGCTGGGAGGGGACAGGATCCCCACCCTGAGTGTTTGCTCTCCCTCTCGCGGAGGGCTTGGTGTTCTCCTGTCTTACGCCCCTTCCTCCCTCAGGTACCTCATGGCCGGGCCTGGCTCCAGCAGCGAGGATGAGGGGGGCTCTCACAGTGGCAGCAGTGAGGATGAGGCCCCCAAACTTCCTCCAAAGGTCTGGTGCCCCTGCCCGGTGGGGGAGGGCATATTGGGAGGGGACACAATGTGGTGCCCCAGCCCCCTGCGGACAGACCTGCCACCAACATCTCTGCTCCCGTTCCTCACCCACGACCCTCCCTCTCTCAGCGCCCCCAGGCCAAAACCAAGACCCCCCAGGGAGCTGGACCCAATTCACCCCAAAGGCCCCCAACTCCTGAAGAGACCAAAACAGCCTCGCCAGGCCCCCAGGAAGACACCGACGTTGAGGAGGACCAGTCAGGTTAGAGTCTGAGGGAGGAGGGGCCGGGCTCGGACTCCAGGGTCTGAGGGAGGGAGGCTGGGGGCTTGGAATCTCTGGATTCCAGACAAGTGGAAGGAGGGGGCCTTGGCGCCCAGATAACTGGGTCTGGAGGGCGTTGAGGTGGGGTTTGGCATGCCTGGGTCTGTGCTTGGGTACCATTCTGAGAAGAGGGTGTCACCGAGCTTCCCAGAAGACAAAGCCCCTCTCATGGGCTGAGCTTCTACTCACAGGACAAGACAACGGAGCGGAAGATTCTGGGGACACTGAGGATGAGCTGAGGAGGTAGGCTGCAGACTAGGGTTAGGGTGACCTGGCTTTGAGTGTGGCGATCTGCTCTGGGTGCTCAGCTTGTACCACTCCTGGCTCCACCAGGGTGGCTGAGCAGAGGGAGCAGAAGCCGGCCCCTGGGCAGGAGGAAAATGGCGAAGACCCGTATGCAGGCTCCACAGACGAGAACACTGACAACGAGGAGCACCCGGAGTCTCCTGAGCTGCCGATCCCGGAACTCCCAGGTGGGAAATCCYGTCCTCCCCCAACACCCAGCCCAGCTGGGACTTGGCTCCTTAGTTCCCAGCTGTGGCTCCCCTCCAGCTCTGGACTTGCCGCCTTGACTGCTTCCATGTTGTCCTCGAAATGTCCCCTCCTGTTTCCGCATCTTCTCTGTGACTTCCTTTTTTGTCCCTTCCTGGTTTCTTGCTCTCACCAGTCCCCTTACAGCCCAGTGTCAGGCGTGGTGCCCCTGGGGTCCCCTCCAGTTGTGAGCAGCCCCGACCTCCCGCCAGTTCTTCCCACCCACCACACTCCTCTCATCCAGTTCTGTCTTGGGGGAGACGCGGGCACTCCAGATGACGGGGCAGTGCTGCCATTGGGACCCCAGTGGTGGGCACATGTGTTCACTTTAATATACTCATCACCTGGGACATGGATGGTGTGTGTGTGTGTGTGTGTGTGTGTGTGTGTGTGTGTGTAAGAGAAAATAAGAAAGGAAAATGGGAAAACTGCAGGGGTTTGTGGGCTTACGGGCACAGGAGCATGAGTCTCTTAGGGTGAAGACAAGGAAGAAGAAAGGGGTCAGGGTCTGAGTGGAGGTGAGATCTGGGGCCTTTGGAAGTCCCGTTTCCCCAGCTCCTCGTGGGTGAYAGCAGGAAAACACTGTGGTTTCCAAAGCCCCTCAAGTGGCAACAGCATGTCATTGGCTTGGAAAGTCGCATGAAAATGGAAAAAAGAAAGCCACCCTGGAGGCCAGAGCAAGAGACAGGTACTGGCTGGAGGAATGAGCCAGCCCAGAGGAAGAAGTGGCCAGCCCTGGGGTCGCAGTGTTGACAGGCCTGTCAGACACGTCGCCTTGGTGTARTTGTGTCCTCCTCTAGTAGAGCAAGCCAGCCAGCGAACGCACCTCCCAGAAGGTTCTGAGGGGCCACTGGGCTGGAAACCACTGCTTGTCATAGGTTCCTGCCCCTGCACACACCTGATCTCAGACAGCCTGCTGCCTCCCTGTCTTGGCTCCCAGTGTTCACTCACTGTGGGATGACAATTGGGTGCCATTCTTGGGTGCCATTGGAACTCAGGGGACCTCACATGCCCCTTCCACCATCTCTCCTGCAGACTTCTTCCAGGGCAAACACTTCTTCCTGTATGGGGAGTTCCCTGGAGACGAGCGGCGGAAACTCATCCGATATGTCACAGCTTTCAACGGGTCAGTGTGTTGGGAGAGATGATGAGTCTGGGGAGGGCTCAGGGACACCGTGAAGGGGTTGTGAGAAGGAAGGAGGAGGGAGAAGGTGCTTGGCCAATAGGATGGGCACAGACTGCAGAGACCAAATGCCAGCCATGCCCGCTTTCCTGGGCAGCCCCCAGTCTCCTCTAAAGTGAGGGTCTCTACCTCCTTCTGAAAGGGCCATCATCAGGGTTACCCCTGTGGAGCTGCCACCACTGTGGCTTGGCCAGGCTGGTAAATGGAGGTACTGTGGATAGCTCAAGGGAGCACAGGTGGGGCTGGAGAGAGGACAGCCTCTGAGAATGGTTGGGGAGTCGGGTGTTGAGAGAAGGGGCACTGATCACCTGACGGGCCCAGTGCCTTTCTTCCTCACTCCTAACAGGGAGCTCGAGGACTATATGAGCGACCGGGTTCARTTTGTGATCACGGCACAGGAGTGGGATCCCAGCTTCGAGGAGGTGAGCCCTGAGGTGAGCCTGCCTTGACACCCCGCCATCCGGCCATTATGCATTCTCATGTGGGCCCCTGCCCCCCACAGGCCTTGATGGACAACCCTTCCCTGGCATTCGTTCGTCCCAGATGGATCTACAGTTGCAACGAGAAGCAGAAGTTACTTCCCCACCAGCTCTATGGGGTCGTGCCCCAGGCCTGAAATAGGTGTGCCTGCATGCACACACACACACACACACACACACACACACACAACACAGTTTAATAAAGGTGACTTGTTTGGAGCAGCTGCCCTGTCACACTTAGGAGTCTCCCAGAATTCCAAGAGACTCTGGCTTATGTCTCATGTTTGGTTTTGATTGCCTCCACGAGGGTCAGGTCTCTGGGTTATTGTTAGACCCCTGTCCTGGCATCTGGAAGTATACCAGGCCCCTCCATCAGTGATCCGAGAGGGAAGGGGCTCTGCCTTTCTCCCTGGCCTCACACCCCTGTGCTGGCTAAAGACAGAATTAAGAGTCTGCTACTCAGCCCTGCCCCAGTACTTGTTCTGGTCCTCTGAGGCATTCTGCATCTGGATAGTCTCTCTGTGGGTGATGGCCTGGACCCCGTCTAGGTTCCACCACGTTGAAGGTGGGAACTGAGCTAAGTGTTAGGGAATCTGGGCAGAAGGGATGGCCCTGTAGGCAGGCACCAGGCCATGGCAAGGGCCAGGAGGTGGGACTARCCTAAGGCAGTCGGGTGAGCGCTGCTGCCCTTGGAGAAGAGGCTTGAGGGGCAGATGTAGCAGAGAGGTGGCACGTTCCTTGCTTCTGTGCAGTCCAATGTGGTGGCTGCTAGACACAGGTGGCTACTTCAGTGAATTGAAATGGAAACTTCACTTCCTCAGTCACACTGGCCACACATTTCAAGTACTCCGAGGTTGCTGTACTGACAGCGCAGAGAACGCTTGTCACTGCGGAAGGCTTTTTGGACAGGGCTGCCCCAAAGGGCTGAGCATCCCTGGCCYAGGAGCATGGACTTTATCCTGGTGGTGGGGAAGTCAGGAAGGTACTKGAGCAGGACAAAGGCCAGAGCTGGGTTTGAGAGCTGACCTTCGGGTCATTGGTCATCTCTCTTTTTTTTTCTCTTCTTTTTTAAAAATTCTAGTTGTAGATGGACAGCATGCCTTTATTTGTTTAGTTTTTTATGTGGTGCTAAGGATCGAACCCAGTGCCTCACACATGCTAGGCAAGTGCTCTGCCACTGAGTTACAGCTGCAGCTCCCCACCCACCCCGRGTCATTTCTTGAACACACCAAGTCAACCCCCAGAGCTGGCAGTCTCCCTCTTTTCCCTTTCTGAACCTTCCTTTCTTTATCCATAAGATAAAATGGCATTAGGCTGTATTCATTCCTTCATTCAATCACCCTCATTCAGATCACAGTCATCCAGGGCCGCTGTACCAAACCACCAACAGAAACTCATCTTCCAGGTCTGAAGCTCTGAAACCTAACATGGGGATCTGGGCTAAAAACCCAGGTGTMGGCAGAGCAGTGAGCCTCCTGGAGGCCCAGGGGTGGATCTGCTCAGCCTGCCCAGCTGTTAAGGGCAGTCCACCTTCCATTCCCTTCCAGGTTCAAAGCCAGCTGTGGCCAGTTTACTGTCTTCCACATGTAAAGGCCCTGTGATTACATGGAGCCCCCTAGATCATCTGGGACAATCTGTTTGAAGGTCATTTGCTTAACAACCTTCATTCCTTCTCCACTTCATTCTCCTTTGCCACATATTCACAGGTTCCAGGGATTAGGATGTGAACATCTTTGGGAGGCCATTCTTCTACCCATCACAATCAGCACRTGTAACACTAGGACTTCAGTGTAGGAAAAAAAAAAAATGACACTAGTTCCTGATCCCGCAGGGCTGCCATTGCGCCTGGAGAGCTGGGGAGTCTGGTGCACTGGGCAGTGAAAAACGCAGGGAGAGCAAATTCAGCAGGGCAGTGACATGAGTGGGGCAGGGTCGGGTGGTTTAGAGGGGACTTGCTGCGCTCTGCAGGGCCTGGGAGATGTACAGGAGTACCTGGGAGAGCCCTTGCAGGCAGAGGGAAAGTAAGTGCAAAGGTTCTGAGGCATGAGCAGGTCTCCTGTGCTTAAGGAGCAGACAGCAGGAGACCCACCATCTGCCCATCCTCCCAGCTTTTAAAGGCAATTCACATTCCATTCCAGACTCAAGCTCCTGCCCTGTTTGGTTGCAAGTAAATCCTCTCTCAACCTCATTTTTTCCATGTGTACCAAGTAAGATTGAGCCAAGTCAACATCTCTCAGATGAGTTTGAGTACTTGCAATTGCTGATGGTGTGGTTGCTTTGGAATAACTCCCAGCACTGCTCTCTGTGTAAACATGATATAAGCAACACTGCAAGAGCAGAATCTTTACTCTTTTGTGCTCCCCACCTGCCAAGAATACATGCTCTGCTTCTGTGGTTACTAAGATAATTCTCTTTTATTTCTTAGGGTTTTGCTCCTCAAACTGCATTTTAAATCAACAGAAACTTACTTCTGTGTATAGTGTGAGGTGCCAGGATCGYTATTCATTTCCTACTGTTGCTGTAACAAATCACCACAAGCTTAATGGCTTTAAACAACATGTATTTAGTCCAAACTCAGCTTCATTGTCCTAAAATCAAGGTCCACAGGTCTTCAGCAGGTCTTGAGGCTTTAAGGAAGAATCCATTTCCTTGCCCTTCCTAGCTTCTAGAGGCTGCCCAGATCCTYAGCTAGGGTCCTTTTATCACTACAATCTCTTCTTCCACCTTCACCTCTCCTCCTCTGACTCTTGTTCTCATATAACGATCTTTGTGATCACATTGGGCCTACTCAAAATCTGGACCATCTCCCCTTCTCAAGAAGTCCTTCAAGATCTGTCTGTCTGTGGTCCCTTTTGCCACGTGTAGGCTAGCAAAGGTTCTGGGGGTTAGAATGTAAGCATCTTCAGGTAGGCACTGTTCTGTACACCACAGGATCCCATTTAATTTTCCTCCATATTTTTCAGCTCAGTACTGAGTCTGCCCTTTACCCACTCATCCACAGTAGGGGTTGGCAAACTGGGCCCTAAGGCAAGATCCAGCTCACCAAGTGTTTTTTGGTAAATAACTTGTTGGAACACAGCCACACTCCTTCACGTGTGCATAATAATGTGTATAGCTGCTTTTCTGCTCCAGCAGCAGAGGTGACTAATTGTGGCAGACACATGGCCTATATAACCTAAGAATATATACGGTCTGGCCCTCTCAGGAAAAGTTGGCCACCCTCTGATCTACAATAGTCTGTCAGTATAAGCACAGGCCCATTTCTGAGCTCTCAGTTCCCTTCCATTGGCCTGTTTCCAAACCAACACCCAAGAAAGATGTCACTACAGCCTTGAGGTAATCCTTGTGGAGGGGGCAGCGGACCAAGGCTCCCACACTTGTCCTGTAAATGGACCTGACTTGTTTTTTGGCTTGATTTCTGTCTGCTCTCCGTACTAGACCAGGTCTGTCTTCACTGCTATGTCCCTAACACCCCACACGGGGTGTAGCACACAGTAGGTGCTTAATATATATCTGGAACAGAGCACACTCATCCTTATTATAGTAGGAGAATAAACTCCAAAAGGGAAGCTGACTGCCCCCTAACAAATGCCTTAGAATGTCCTCATTTTACAGATGAGGCATCTGAGTTTGGACAAGTGACAAATCTTGTCTGAGGCCCCCCAGACTCCTGAGGAGTGGCAGGGCTAGTTCTGCGGTTTGGGTGTTTCCCTGAGCTTGCCTTCATCACTTAGTACATCTCSGGGCTCTTTTCACATCTGTAACAGTGCTGCCCTCTCCCTACACAGTCCACTCTGTGGCTCTACTGTCATTCATTAGCTGGCCCCCACTCATGGGCAGGCATATGGGCTGTTGCCAGTCTTTGGAAACCATCACCCCGCAGTGGACAGCCTTACCTTTATGTCTTGACATGTTTTGAGTTTATGGGAGAAATTCCTACAAGTGGAATAGTTGAAACAAGCAAATGTGTATATTTTAAATGTCTTAGAACCAGTCATGTGGCCAAGGTGGAGACACCAAGTTAAACTTTCAGCAAGGAGAAAGCCTGTTTGCCCACATTCCTCAGCAACCCAGGATGCTAGCAGGCTTTACCTTTGCCATATAAATGGGTGGGAAGAACCAGACTGAACCAGTCCCATCGAACCACAGCTCCAGGTCCATGGTTTGGGATCCAGTGTTAATTCAGGTTGACACCTGCCCCTCCAGGTGAGCAGAGTTCCTCAGGCTTCTAATTCTGAACCCCGTGTAAATGGCAGATCTCTCACCCTGCCAGCTATCTGGAAGAGCCAAGTCCATACAGCAGGGCTTAGAAATCCCACCTTTTTATTGACCGGAGCTGGCTGGAAGGGGCCGCCTGTGAGCCAAAGGGAGAGCTCAGTCTCTCTCCCCCTGGCCCTCTGCCTGGTGGTGGCTGCGTTGATGAAYGAGCAGGAGGCGTCTCTGGCCAAAGGCCTGGCCACAGTTGGAGCATCGGTGTTGACCAGTGGCTGGGCTGCCTGGTGCGGTGGGGGGGTCGTGACATAGGCGATGGGCAGCCAGCTTGGAGGGAAATGAGAAGGCCTTGGGGCAGTGTGGGCAAGGATAGGGGCGGGCGTCATTGGCATGGTGTGTGTGGCGGTGGGCTGCCAGTTTGGAGGGGTAGCAGAAGGACTTGGAGCAATCAGGGCACGGGTAGGGACGGGTGGGAGCGTGGGTCCAGAGGTGGGCTGCCAGCTTGGAGCGGTGGCCAAAGGCCTTTGGGCAGTGCGGGCAGGGGTGCGGGCGGGCACCACTGTGGGTGAGGCGGTGGGCTGCCAGCTTAGAGGGGTAGGAGAAGGCCTTGGGGCAGTCGGGGCACGGGTGGGGTCGGGTGCCGCCGTGGGCTAACCGGTGTGTGGCAAGCTTGGACGGGTAGGAGAAGGCCTTGTCACAGTCAGGGCAGCGGTGCGGGCGCTGGGGTGGGGGCCGCCGGCGGG